TATCAAAGGCAGCTACATGTACAAACTATTTTCAGCATTACAGTGGCCAGTGTTGGAAATATTTCAAAGCAAAAATGATTTGTCAATGAAATGCTTGTTTAACTAATTTTTTAAACTACTGGTACTTTAAAGTTAAAAAAAATTGAAATATCATGCAATATTTGAGTACAGAAATAAAATATTTCGTTTTTAAATCTGCTACCATAGCAAAGGAACACGTAACAAGACAATGTTCAGTGAACATTTAGATTAAAAAATCTGCTTTTTGCTTTAATTTTTGTACCAGAATGCCCATTATTTTGCTTAAAATTCACTAATCTTATTTGCTTAACCCTTACTCTGTCAAGCGCGGATTATTCCGCGGTTTTGACGTCATAGTAGAATATGTTAGATATTCATGCATCTAAGCCTCATTTGAATGTTACAGCCTCGTTCTAATGTTGAGGAATGTTTGTTCGATCTAAATCATATTTTTAGTGTAAAAAATCTTGTATTTTGAGCGAAATTCGAGCGAGTTTTCGAGCCTTTCTTGCAGCAGGGGATTTAAACTTCGCTCGTTTGAAACATCGAGGATTTTAGAAGTGATTTTTCATGTGATATTTGTGCCAAATCGGCATCGAAAGCATCCAAAATGGCGGACAGACAGAAGAACAACATACACAGCAGAAGAAGTCCGTGGAAATTCCCAGTGACAGCGATGATTCTGATTTTGAAGGTGAAGAGGAAGGCTCGTGCAGTAATGGAGCTGAAGTAGACTTCAATCGAGCGATGCAGATGATAATATTATCAAATGTATGCAAAAACGTCGATAAATATACTGCATTGAAAGCTCATTGTCTGTTCTTTACAATGATATATTTCTTGCCAGCTAATACTTTTTGGATTTTTTTTAATAATTTTTTTAAACCTCAGGGTGGGAAATTTCATAATTTCGCCAAAAGTTCTGACAGATTAAGGGTTAATAAATGAGCAAAAGCCTTTGAATCCAAAATTAAAAACTATATTAATCTGTTTGTGTAGGCTTCGGTAATTGTCATATCACATTGCAACTGTCATGCTATACACTACAGTTGTCTCCAATGTCACCACACTAATTATTTTAACAAATAGTTCACTAATATCCTGATATATTGAGCGAGACTAAGAATTTAAGAAGATAGGATNTGGAAAGAGTGATATCAATATTAATATTCATGTCTACGTCAAGAGATTGTATATTCTAAGGGATTGCAAATACACCTTTTCAGTTGCACTTAGGCCTCGATAGCAAGTTAATTATTATTTTGAATTTGCTAATCGAGACTATTCATATCAAGGTTTGCAGTGCTCACATTCCTACAAATTCAAAAGAATATTCAACACGCTGCTGAGGCCTAAGAGCAACTGAAAAGGTGCATTGTGTAGTTCCAGAAAATATCCATACCCCCACCACGGAGGATATTTCATTTATGACCCCCCGGCCCCCCCGGAATTTCCGATTTTTGACCGATTTTTTACAACTCTTCCCCAACCCCCCATCCCTCCGGAATTTCCGATAAAAAGGCAGGTATTAACCCCACCCCCCTCGGAATTTCCGTCAATACAAGATACGCATAAAAATACGCCTGGCAATTTAAAATCAAATTTTTTTGAGTATCAGAAGAACAGAGGACAAATAGCAAACGAAAGCCGCGGAGATGGAACAACGAAGTCTAGCACCACATTGATTTGATATACATAAACTATATCTATGAACTTTGCGAATTCTACCGGAACGTGAGCAAGTAGTTTCTTTACTGCAAAAATTTGCACTTCTATTACGATCTAGAAATYGATCTTTTCCTCCAAAATATGYATTTTTTTAGCATAGTAAATCTTAAATGTTCGATTTTGGTGTTTTACCTAAAAGCTCAAGCTTCATAAATCTTTGCCGATTATCGAACCGTCACTAAAGTGTAAACAACCACGACCACGTGCTTTGACTAACACATCTAGAATCTTATTTATACACTTATTCAATAAAGAAGGATTCTTTTGCMTTTTTCTATCATCAACCTTTCTTTCTTTTTAAATACAAGTACATGTATATTGAGTTTTAGTTTCGCAGACTTGTAAAAACGTGTACGTGAATTTTTAGCGCGGTGGTSATTCTACTGACAGTTGTCACTTGTATTTTCTTTCTTCAATCGAAAGAAAAACCATTTTGTGTAGAAGCTGTCTGTTTGAAGCACAATCTTAATTTAAATTCACGTCAAATAACTTATTTAAAGAGCGACCAGCGAGTCAGGAATACGGTAATAACTCATATCTACGCATATCGATTTTTTGTAGATCGATTGCAGATTAACCCCCCATCCCCTCGGAATTTCCAAGCTACTTTAACCCCCCACCCCCTCGGAATTTCCGAAATCCTCCGTGGTGGGGGTATGGATATTTTCTGGAACTACACATTAGGGGCTGGTTAACTTGATGTAAGAATGCCTCTTTGTGCTGGTTTGCAGTCCTTCATTTTTTAACAAAAGCAGAGGAAAMAAACTGTAGTTGCTTAACTTGCCTTGTTTGAATCGTCTGGGTGTTCTTGAATAGCTTCAACAGATCCTGCATTAGTTTTATTTTCCTCTTCCACACTATGATGAGAAAGATTAAAGYTGAGTAAAAGAAAGTTCATGACACCTGTTATTTCATAGTTTCAAAAAAACACCTTGGCCTACTAAGTTTCATTCATATGGTAAATTAAATTATCAAAACCATTTAATTTCTTGTCAATKAATAATGTGCAACAGACTGCGAATATGTTAAGAAAATGACATGTATTATAATGAAAAAAAATGACAAGCTAAAAATACATGTAYTATCAAAGGCAGCTACATGTACAAACTATTTTCAGCATTACAGTGGCCAGTGTTGGAAATATTTCAAAGCAAAAATGATTTGTCAATGAAATGCTTGTTTAACTAATTTTTTWAACTACTGGTACTTTAAAGTTAAAAAAAATTGAAATATCATGCAATATTTGAGTACAGAAATCAAATATTTCGTTTTTCAATCTGCTACCATAGCAACGGAACACGTAACAAGACAATGTTCAGTGAACATTTAGATTAAAAAATCTGCTTTTTGCTTTAATTTTTGTACCARAATGCCCATTATTTTGCTTAAAATTCACTAATCTTATTTGCTTAATAAATGAACAAAAGCCTTTGAATCCAAAATTAAGAACTATATTAATCTGTTTGTGTAGGCTTCGGTAATTGTCATATCACATTGCAACTGTCATGCTATACACTACAGTTGTCTCCAATGTCACCACACTAATTATTTTRACAAATAGTTCACTAATATCCTGATATATTGAGCGAGACTAAGAATTTAAGAAGATAGGATTTGAAGTGTAATATATTTGTATGTTTATAAGACAGTTATTGCCAGTAATAATCAGAACAGGAATCTAAATAGCATAATGTATAGTAAATATACAAAAGGGAGTGGTTAYGGGAAGATGATTTTAGATGAACTTTAAAATGCATGAAAGACAAAATAACTAAAAAAAGTACATGTAGAAAAAAACCTATTTTTTCTGCAATACTTTTTTTAAGCAAATGTGCAAATTTTTGCAATCCGATGCATTACACGTAATTGACATACACAGCTTACCTTTGCATAACAACATCTTGGTATATAACATAGTCCTGCAGCTCAAACGAGTTTATGTCCAGCAAGTAGATGTTGCCACCCTCAGTACCAAGAAGCAGACGGTTTGTTTTCATTGACAATGAGCAGACAGAGATCTTTTTCAATCTAGAACATCAAAATTTRATCATTATCATAACTAAATGATTATTAATGAATTTTAATAGTACTAGGTGTTGTCTAAAAYAAACATACTTTTCAGACATTTTTTTGATAAGCAGTAAAAATATTTGTGAAATATCATTACAAAGACCAAAACGAGCAGTCACTGGTAAGGCAAAAAGTAGCTTGATTAGCAACTTTGCGTAAATGGACACTTTGTACGCTAAAAGATTACTTTCACTGGTCAAACTTGAGCTTACATGTCTCATTATGTTATTATGCTCATTATGTCACTCATTCATATGCTAGCTTTATTTTCTGCCTTTTTTGCCATGCACTCTCCATGAAGACTCTCACTGAGCCTGTGCATGGACTCTGAGTGCAACTCAAGTAAGTGCAAACTTTTGCATTAAACATATAACCTTCTCTAGCTTTGTAAATGAATACATTTTGCATAAGACAGTCCACATAAAAGTCAAAGATCATGTCATCCAATACAAAAACATTTGGGTACAAGAACTGACACATATTCAACACATAACCAAAGACACAAAGYATACATAAATTTCAAATTTGGAGAGCATAATTACATAGAAATCTCTAGAGAAACTGCAGAGATACTAAGCATCTGACTAAAAACATTTTCAGATACAAAGTCTTTGTGTTGGGGGGGTGCTAAAAGAAGTCTTACCGTCCTTCCAGCGTGCAGGTTTTGACTTCTTCAAGAACTGACTTTCCTTCTTTTTTGTTGACCTCCCATAGATGGATGCTGTTCTGTTCGCCATCATCACATACACTGATGATTCTTCCCTGTGAATGATATGAAGAGTACACCTTCAGTATATCAATTCTCTCCTTCCAGTTCACTACACCGACTTGAAAGAAGATGTGCCTTTACATTGAAGAAAGACAACCATTGAGCATGCAATATGATAGAAACCTTCTTACACATCTACAGATAATTATAAGTATCTATAATTTCACGCTCAACGGTCATCTTGCTTCGATACAAAGGCGCAGCTACTTGAAGGAGAYTATTATTTACTCTTGCTTAAATCCCCAAACAAAATCAAATATGATAAGATTCTCAGTAGAGATCAATTTTTGGTCAAATACTAATCTAAAAGATGAGAGAACTGTCTAATTTTTATATTTAATGGTTACAATGTATTAGGGTTGTCATTGTAATTTATATTCTAGTGACAACACAATTGGCATAAATATCACATCAATAATTGTAAATGTTCTACAATATATCTAAACTGGTCTGTATTTTCGTAATTTTTTCTTTGGAAAAGGAAAATAATGGGAATTAATTGTCATATGAAAACGAAATGTAGTATAATAACAATATATCCTAATTATATGATACTAAAAATGACATTGCTATTTATAAAAATTCCACTTTTGTTCAGGACTATTTGGCCTCAAAAAGACAAAACCAAATTCTAACACAATTTTGCTAAATAATTTCTTTCAGTATTCATTGAAAAGACTATTTTTAACACATTGGTCATTTGGGGCCATGTCATGACATTCTGATAATACAAAAATAACCTGGAATATTAAATTGCTTGAAAGATAGAGGAAACTACTGATCTTATCAACAGGAAGAACAGCTTGAAAAGAGAAAGACGGATTGCAAAATGCTCGATGAAATATAAAAACATTTTGAGGGATAAAGTTAAAGCTAAAACAGCCTATTAAGGAATTGCACGTATCCAGTAACATTTGTGGCTATTAGGAAAGACGATATTTTCTTTCAATCATTGTATGAATAGCTAGAGATGGTTGCTTCAGCTGAAATAACAAAGATGACACTTCCAGAACGTCTGTCACCCAAGTGTGTACTTGAACAGGGAAAATAATTATAGGATACTCRAAAAAGACACCATTCATCAAACTATAGGACAGGATAATCTCTTGTTACTTTTAATATCTCRTAATTAGATATTTAATTGTCATATATGGGTACTTTATCCTAGATATCTGAAAACTATAAACATGAAAAAATCTCCAATCCAGTCCAATTCAGTATCGTAACTTCTTTTTGAAAATACAATAAGGAAGCAACGGTACAGGAAAATATRATAATTGATTGAGCAATTGAAATGAAAATGACACTTAAAAGTGAAGACAGAGCATTATGCTTAAATGTCAGGAATAATATTGTGAGTTTTCAATCAAAGACTAAAGGACAAAAACACAAGTTCAAACTTATCTGTTCACATGACAAACATGTGAGGAATAAAAAAAGTTTTCAAGGGGAAAACAATGGATATTTTGTTTAGTAAATTAACAAAACTATCAGTCATTCTTGGCTTAGCACAAAGACCCAAGTAGCCAAAACAATATGATTGATTAAAATAATAAAAAATTAAAACAAAACCCACAGAAACCAAATTTAAATAATAATTTGCCAACAAGGTAAAAATGGAAGAAGTATAGGACAAACTTTAACACTGAAATTCTAATATATACACAGCTATAATACAGCTAGAAGGATAAAAATTATAGCAAGCACTTCTATATTAATTGCTTCGAATACCAGCATGAACATACAATTTTTCTACAAGTTGACTTGAACAAATTGGTATTATATTTTCAATTCCATCACAACGAAATTAATAAATCAAARTGCTCGGGGGAATAAACAGAAATTGAATGAGGAGACAGGATTGATGTTTATGTCAAGAMAACAAAGRCCTAACAGGTTATGGGTAAACAAGGCAGACCTTATGTGAATAGCAGCTATTTTAATTTGAGGTTACAAGGGATATTCTTTAAACAAAGCCTACATGTTGACGGGTTCACCACAAAAGATTCAACAATACACCTAAAGTGTATCAAAATAAAAACACCAAGGTCACTAACTATACTTTAAGGAAAAACAATGACAATTGAATAAAGAACTTGGAAATGGCAGGAGAGAGATGTCCAAGATAGAATAGATGCAAGGGAAAGTACATTCAATTGCAGCAAAATATAAACAACACCAAGGAAGTCCAAAGGATGCAACAAAATTTATGCTTTTCAATACCAAATTTTAAAACCAATCTGCATAAATCAGTTGCTACGCTGATATAGCATTTTTTTTAGAATCAGTACATTTTGCAAATTGCATCCTTTGAKAATTATTTTGACGACTACTGCCATGATAACATCAATATTTTTTGAATGCAATATTATATATTCAGTTTATACGAGTTGTCATTTATTCTGAATAATTTCTACTTGCACTTCAAAAGCTTTATATGTGAAGTGGCGGTTTCGATAATATTGTACTATCTTGGTACATATTTTAAATAAATATTGTTGACACAATGTAATACCAGCACCCAAAACAATATGCCACACCCATGTAATGGAACAACTCCCTTCTCCTGCTAGAAATCGAATTATAACTACGTATATTTCTTAAACCATTTCGAGAATTCTTGCCTGTTCTGGGAGAAAGTGTAGTTCTTGTATTCTTGTTTCATTTTGATGGCATGCTGTTAGTTGTACGCCAGGTTTTCCATAGCTAAATCAAATCAAGTCAAGGAACCATGCAGTAACGCCATTTTGACGGCAAAGAGACGATATACCAGCGAGCAAGAGTTTATTAACGTTTTATGTAAAAAWTWGCTATWTGAATACCACAGCAGCAGCACAAAAATGTAACTACGTTTGTTTATGAATTGATGATTGAAAGACAACGACAATCCCGCTGAAACTAGTTCACTTAGTTGTTTCTAGCTAATTATGTTGCAAAGTTCTACGTCTAGAGAATAAGCTTACATATGCAAACAAAATAACCAACTAAGCGGGGAGAATTTATGCTAAAATTGTGGGTAGCTTATAGATTAGAAATCTAGGTAAATGAGTACACGGAAATTTCCTGAACAAATCGATAAAGAACTATGAAACATAGCGACGAGCACGAACGGAGTCGAAGCAAAATAATTCACAATCGACAAGAAAATTTACAAAATAATTTCTCTAAGATCAAAGATTACGATGCTTTAGATAAGAAGGGATACCATAGTTCATACATTCAATTGAATGGAGCCTTGAAAATACATAAAATTAGGGGATATATTGGAAAATAATATTACAACTTCTAGTTCTGATAGCGGCATTTTCTCACGTGGATTGAGAATAACCTGCTTGCAATCCAAGTTACTGATCAAAAATGCTAGCTTGAGCTTTTTCTTTGATATGAATTCTTCATAAACAAGATTTGAAGCACGAACCTTCATAAAAATCATTCAAGCTTATATTAAACCYCAGTTTATTTCAAAATGGCGAGCCTTTTCAACATGGTATTGCTTAACTATTTCCGTTCGTGCACAATGTTTGTTCAACTGACTAATTCCTTCAGCAAGAAAAGAAAATAGCCTTAAAAATACCCCTTTACATAAGCAAATTTTTAATAATCCGACGTGGAAATTTTGCAGCTTAATATTTCGCACTTGTAGGACTGCAAAGCGGACCGGCAAGCTTACCTTCTATGAGCAACTCGCACGCGAAATACTTCAAATAACAATTTCAAGCATAATTTTGAGCGAATTATAATCAAGTTTTTAGTGTCATTGAGGTTCACCAAAATCTCTAAAGAAAGCTTTAAAGGAAGCAACTTGTTCGTGAGTCCAAGTCAGACATCACAGCGTAAATGTATTCAGTTTGGGCGTTAAACGTGTTGCTCAACGAGACAAAAGCTAGCGTCCGTTCACAATCCTATGTCTGGAGAAGGATTTTATAAAAGCAAGCGACAAAACTCAACGTTCAAGGATACATTCTCAGTGTTCCGTCTTCTGTTCCAATGGCGAGTAAATGAAGTTTGGGATCGTGAGCTAAAGCACTTGGTTTATGCGGGAATCCATGTTCGATAGTCTGGAGGAGAGAAATACCCAGCACATGTGACATACTACCGAAATTGAGCATTGAAGRGAATGCAACTGTACCTTGTTGAATACGAACAGCTCCTGGCCGAGTTTGTCTTTAATGTGACCGTCAGTAGATTTGTGACGGTATCTCCGTACTAGCTTCAACATATTCCGAGTTTACAATGAGCTGAAATCCAAAATCCGCCGAAGCACAGAAAATTATAATAACTCCGTACGGTAAAGCAGACTCGATCGAACAATCAATCACGCCTTGCAGAGGAAAATGGGCTTTAGTCACATGACACAATGTCAATCAAAGTTCACCTAGCCAATCACGAGCCRGCTTTGTGATTACCGCGCGGAGCAAGTTCATTTCAGCTGTCTACGTTCTATTTGGCTTTTCTTTTGGTATCGATAAACTTTTCAAAATTTCTGCGAGACATTTCAAACTCTGAATAAATTTKCAAGGCTAATCCATTGAGATAATATTTGTTTTCTACACATGACACTATAAAAAGRCTGTCAGACTGACGAGGTGATTTCTTTTCAAACAACAACTAGAAAGAATTCAAAGGGAMATTTTCAGACGCGAGACAAAAACACCTGCGAAAAAAAAAGTCCAAGTAACTTTTCTTTATTTAACTCTCCCTAAAAAAAAGTTACAAGTTACCAGATTGACTGCTGTAGGTAATTTTMATTTCTTTTTCGTGCCACGCCAGAAGATGAAAAATCCCTTTCAAGTAAATTAATATTTAAAATTCTCGGCACGGTTTGAAATCTTTTTATAAATGTTTAAAGTTTAGTTTCTAAGCATTCTTAAGTATCTATCTAATTTATTTTATCAGCTGAGTTATTAGCAACAAATCACTAGTATTTTACTAAGGGAGGGGACGATATGGTGAGTATATTAGTTGGCCTGTCAGACTTGAGCCGGAATTTGGACGATGATATACGCGTGCATTCAGMACATTTTATTGCTGATGACATAAAACCATAAGAATGCAAAACCTGTAGTGATTATCAAAACTGGCTTTGTTACCATTATGACTCATCCATTTGGGCAAGAGAAAGATTCAAAAAACACGTAAATGTTTGGAAACTCCCTTTGAATATATGCAATGGTGTGTGGAATTATAATAGGCCGGGCGCCACGCTATCGCATTATAAACTTGACATATTCGGCATGCGCTTCAAGTAAAAGTGCTCGATCTCAATTGTATTGTATTTGTAACGATGAAAACAGAAAAGAAAGCTTTTTATAAGTGGATAGAGATAAGAAAGCGTTGTTTGTTTTACTGATAAAAAGCTTTGGTGAATTACCCGCGAAAAGACCCGCAGGACGACTAATTAATACCCCAAGCCTCCGTTGGAAAGGAAAGCCGACGGTTTTATGTCGTGTTAGAGTTATTCTGAAGGCTAAATAATTCATAAACGGTCTCTTTAACCTCGCATAAACATTGAAAAAATATGCTGACATCGCAAAACGTTTGTCACCTGGCTACTACAAGGATTTTACGGAAAAAATACAGGAAGGTCAGTTGTAGTTCACGCTTCTGGGATAAGCAATATTTGAATCTCTTTTATTATAACCCTTGAATTTGTTTAGTTTTTCAACAAAATCCCCTCAGCGTGTATCCTGAAAGACAATAAGTGATGATTTTCGATTGATCAATTCTCGAGTTTTAATTACGGCACCTAACGTGAACTGAGTGGCCTATTTTTCATTCACTTATATCAGAATCCGCGAGCCCGTGGGAGATGTGTGAAATAGATATGTTTGATATCATCGGATGAGAAAAGACCTTTCGACCTTTCTAAGTTGTTGGTTGTATAGCGTGTTTGTTATCCTGAAGGGGAAGTGTGTCATTGGGTTTTGTGTTACAAGAAATAGTGCAGTGAAAGTTCTTGAAGAATTCGATCTCCTTTCGGCTGCGCCGTTAGATACCCATAGAACCTGGCATTGTTGCCCTTGTAGCAACCCAAATAAAATGAATAATTGTTAGGAAACCAAGGATATCGGAGCCCGGATGAGATCGACCATTCAATGGTAGGCGTTGGCCCAGAATTTGGGGTTATCTAAACTCTGATTCAAGCAAACGTTTTTTCGAGAAACCGGAACTCAATTTCAAACCTCTTTACCCCATGACGCGGAGTCCAAAGCGTCACTGGATTCCGGATTCCAGATTTTGAACCAAAGAACATTTTCTAACGTCAGTGACTCGTTTGCAATAGCCGACTTGCGAATTACGCATCAATAGTCACATACAAAGGAATCAAGGCGAGGCGCCGTGCTAAAGACAATAGATTTTTCACAAAAAAGCACGGCGCCTCGTCTTGATTCCTTTGTACGTGACTATTGATGCGTAATTCGCAAGTCGGCTATTAGCCAATTTGGACTTAGTGCCACTCGGACATTTCGCGGCTAAAACCAAATGTGCAACATGCTGTAGCAAGCCCTCAAATAAACTAAGAGWGCCAAATCATGTCGAAATTATGCCTTTTTCACCAAAATGAATTATTTTCCTGACATTTCAAAAAGATAAACAAGCTCAAAAAGGACAATTTTTGTTGTTGTCCGATTTGCCTCGCTTTGGTACAAAATTGGGGTTAAGACCGATTTTTTAACTAATATCAGGCCTCTCCCCTCCCCCCTCACAAAATTACCCTTCGCTTCTGGTCGCATTATAACGTCTATTATTGGCGTCTTATCTCTCAAGCGACCGTTGTTATTGAAAGCTTGACAATGCAAATTATATCATAAACATTCAAATTGCTATTCACAATTCTTTGCGAGACGATATTGTTGATATGAAGTGATATCATCATTATCATTGCCACAAGCTGGTGATAACACTWTTCATTAATGAACATAATGAATTTCAAACTACTGTAGATAAAGCAAATCTTTCTCATTTCCAAGTTAACTTAATAGCTGTTCTTATCTAGTAGACACTGAAGGCAATGAGTTTGCAGCAAAATCCAAGTTCCCATTTACCCCTAACAGCGACTCGTGCCGAATTCAAGAGCGTTCTCGCCGATATTTCGAATGAGCCGACAGAGAGTAGACTGGGACGAGGATGGTGTTTTTTTAAAACGCAATCTCATGGGCGAAAATACAATTGAAAATATACCTACTTGAATTGGTTAAAGTAATGAGTTCTACGGTTCAGTGTTCAGTCTCAGTGTTATTAACTTTAAGACAATTATATTWGGGAATAAGAGAAGCGACGCGGAACTAGTAAACAGTAATAGTTACTTCTAGAACACTGTAATTTGATGTGCCTCAATAGTTCTGTCGTTTAATTGACAGTTCACTTCGGGAACAGGGGACGCTGTCCGGTTAAGTGGTTTGATAATATCTAACATTTGAAAGTCCTTCATATTGGTGCAGTARTTATTAAGCGTTTCATATGATTAAGTGTCTATAGTTAGTGTCAGTATGATTCTATATATTTATCGAGGCATGGATATGTCTAAGTATGTTTATTTACGGATAGGCGATGTTATTTGTGACTGTCTAGGGACTCCAGGGGAGGGGCACGCACAGCCCTATCCTATCGTTACCGTATTGTCTAGAGCCACCAGACAGCCCATGAATATTATGTTATTGATAAAATGGTTTCTTAGGTTATTAGCGTCTCTCCATGAATACGCGAAACAGATATGAGACTAATAAAACCCTGTAAGTGGTCGTAAGCTGTATCGTTTTCTCTTGTGTCTATTTGGTTATTTAAACTTTCCGTATTTTAAAAAAAACATTTTCTTAATAGACTGTTTTTCCATAGCCCCACTCGACCCCACCCAACTCATTTTTTACTTCCTGTTTCACGGGTATATGAAAATCGATCTACTCTCAGTTACCATATTAAATCTATAACTACCTTGGACTCGTCCCCTGTCTTCTCCCCCGTYCTCACAGTCTCCTTCCTTTACTTGATGAACTACAAGAAAGAGAGAGACGACTGGGAACGAGTCAGTAACTACCTTCTCTATATCTAACTAATCCTCCGGTCATCTACAGCGGCATGTTGATAAAGAAAAACAGCACATAGCCAAAGCCARAAGCCATTCATGATACTTCTTCTACATTGAATTTCTTGTTTCTCTTGATGTAGTTCTCAAGTACGTTCAAAATTTCGAGGCTTTCGTCTGAAGACATAGCACGGGCTTCCTGTTTTGTACTGTGGAGWAGGACTGGTCCGTTGCCGCACTTGAGAAGGAACTGATACGACCTAGCAGACAAAAAATAATAATAATACAGTTACCAAGTATCAACGAACGGACATGTTCTTTTCTAAAACAAACCTTTCACAAATTCGCATAACCACGAAACAATTGTGTCAAGTCGAGGCTAGGGTGGATAAATACAGAGTAAAAATGTGCAGATCTGTCAACCCTAGCCTCGACTTCAATGTACTGTCAAGTGGTCAGTTAAGTTGTGACGACTTGTGTTTGATCTGGTGCAATAAGTACCATCGAAAAGGATTCTGGTAATAAAAGTAAAAAAAACTGCATGGAGACCACAAGGGGGTAAGGGGAGTCTATTGAAGGTCCAATTGCATCCGAGATGTTTTTCAATCAYTTTTACTGTCATTGAAAGTTAGTTTTTTTCATTGATACAAAAGTCAAAGATGGCGGACTTTTCGTATCGGATACACGTGTGTCCTCTAAATAGAACCTCTCCATCAAAGCCTGTTCACTATTAGATAGAGTGTACCTGTTGGTGGTAGAGCCAAAATCTGTTGTTTAAAACCCTCCAGGCAAAAGAAAACAAAGAGTTTGGCTCTACCACCTAGTAGCAGCACCCCATATCATGCAAATTAACAGGGYCGGGTAGTTTAAAGATCGATTAGCGCTAATTCTGGGTTAACTCTTATGTCCCGTTCACACTTGCGATTTTTGAAGAGCGATTCTCGCGGTTGAGTTTCCAACATTGGAAATTGGCTATAACAATCGCATGGCTGTTTACACGTACGATTGTAGTTGCGCGATAGCAAAGTGGCGATTATCGCGCTGCAAATTCGTAAGTGTAAACGGGCCTTTAGAAAACGTATGGAGTTAACCCAGGATTAACGCCAATCAGCCTTTGAACAAACCGGCCCAGGCTTAAGTAAACTCGCATATGAGAAGTAACTTAACGAGGATGTTTCMTGTACATAGCGAAGACTACCACGACCGCAAAACACAAAGATCGCCTAATTTGGTATTACTGACACGTCTCTGAGTCTGGTGTTTAAGAACAAATTTCTCAAAACTAACGTGTAAATATAAATAAAACAACCGACTTGAGTACTTTTAAGTATTGTGTAAAAAGACAGATCGACCACAGCGATTGTCATATGACCGTAAAAGGAGGGGTTTTCGGGATTTTTGATCATATTGCGGTCTATTGCGGATTGGCATATCGCTCATCGCTCATAGCGACAAACATTGCAATTTTGGTGGTTAACTTCGTATAATTTTTATGAGAATTTGTGGATTGAAAATATTTTTCTAGCGCATGTCAGAAGTTCACTTCATGAACATTTTGTTTAGATTTCTTTTTTAAAAACAAGCACAAAACAAATATTCGTTTTTCTTTTCACGAGGGTGAATGTTCCGCGACAAATATTTAAACATCTGCAAATAACAGAGCCAACGAAAAATATTCCGGAGGTTTAATAAACATCTGCAAATAACAGAACCAAGGAAAAATAATTCGGAGGTCGCTCAAAGTTTAGATTTGGAGCATTCAAAAGTTTTTTAATGAAAAAACGCGCTTTATGCTCAGTATAAATTTCACATGAAAACATCGAAAAATAAGCTCAGCGACCTTAATAAAGGATTTCAAAGTTCTTCAGTTCGTTTTATCTGTTATATCTTTGTAAAAAAAGTCAGTGTTAATAAGAAATTTCATATTATGATGATATCGCAAAAGGCAGTTATGAGGAAAAAACAAGCTCTATACTTTCCGGTCTTGTACGTAGCTGTATGCCGAGCTCCTTAATTCGCGTTCAAATAAAAAACCCTCCACATTGAAAGCGTATTTWAAGCTCTTCTAGTACCTGACATATTAACGCATTGTAACTACTGTTGCATTTTACTTTGTTCAAAAGGCGGTTTCTTTTAGCGGCGGTAATTTACTTTGCAGGTTGTCAACGAAGCAAGTTACCGACTTGAAAAGAACCTTATTAATTTGAAAGTGTTTTTGTGATGATAAAACCAGCTGTATTTAAAGTTAAACGGAGACTTTATTGAGCCTTGAGACCCCAACACAGTAATGCTCTTAACCATCGCTTTTTAGCGTTCGSTACGAGAACGCAACAGCGAAGATCTTTTCGACCATAGGCCTACGTTTCTATGGTTTCTACAGCGGTTTGTTGCTGTTGTAGTTGTTGTTTTTCATTTCCTTGTGGACGTAGAACAATATAATAACGCCAATAAAAAAGACGCTTATTAACTTTTTTGCGTTTTTCATCCCCTTGASTACGGCGGATAATACAAAAACGTTACGAAAACGTATCATCCTAGTAAAGTCATTACTACGTAAACGCGACGGAAAGTCATTACTAGGGACGACACGTAAAAACCGCGGTGTCTTAGCGTTTGGTATCGGTTTTTTCATCTTGAGGATGCAGGAACAAAATTTCATGTACTGGAATATTTCGATATTTCGAAAAACTGAAATATGAAGGATTAAGCAATAAGTGCTCTAGTTTGTAGATAAAGTGAAGTTTATCTTGTTTTGAGTTCCTTTAGTGCTTTTGCGTAGCCTACACACGCGATAAACATAATGCACGTAAAAGCGCGCGTTTTCCTATTCTCCGCTCAGACTTCCCCAGTCCCTTTAGGGACGCTACACAGGCTACAAACTATGTGTTACCTCCCCTCCCTGTTTGCAATATTGTTTTTAGCCTATTTGAATTAGACGGAATCGCTTTAAAATCGTCCTGGATAAACTGTGAACTTGTTTCCACAATGTAGTGGGGAATGGGGCCAAGGTGTTCAGTTTATTTTCGGAGGACTGTAGTTTACATTTACAATGTATGGCCAGCTATTGTACCTGTATAATGCATAGTGATCTGTTTCTGCTTCTCGAAATAGTCTTTTGAGTGTGTTCAGATCATGATTTACCTGGAATTATAGCAACATTAATAACAATGATAGATCAATGATGATTTTAATGATGATGATGATGACCATAAAAAAATATCCATAAGAAATTATCTGTTCATCTATTATCTATTATGATAATGATAATAAAATAGTAATAAAGTGGTTTTATAACTGAKACAGCTAACCAAAAGTATTTTTCCAATCAATAGGGGTATCGAATGGTAAAATCCGAGCCTGGCCGGGTCTGCGAGCCCCTTGTTTTAAAATCCAAGCCCGAGCCTCTGGCTGAACGCATCCAATATTTCAGCAATTGCGGTATTCTCAGCCAAAAGGGATTTCAAATCCGAGCCCCTTTCTTTTAAGCGCCAAGCTTGCGAGCCTTGGGAAATTTTTAGTGAGCCTCGCGATTTCTGAGACACCATTCTACTAGTATACCCCTATCAATCATATCCATGACACACGTTCCAGCACCTACCCTTAATTTGTAGTTTTCTATGACTTCTCTCAGGAATATAGGATCATTTATATCMCCTCGTAGCATTGTATTTGCCCAATCTTTACAGAATTGTGTTGTTTCTAAGAAAAGAAGTAGAAAATATTCATCAGCACTTGAGGTTGCGATGTATTTCTTTGTAAAAACAACAGGTTGCAAYATGACACCCTAAATTGTGCAATCCCAAATTGGAACTGCACCCTCCCCTCCCATCTCAGGAATAAAACCTGCCCCTCCCCTCCCCTTCCCAGGAATAAAACCTGCCCCCTCTCCTCATTTCCCTGGAATAAAACCTCCCACCTATGACTCAATATTGTAAATGCTCATAGTACATGAACAGCCATGCTATAATGCTAGCTAAGGTTGTTCAAACCTTTTTTATTGCATGGCACATGAACTGTTACCTTGTGTACTCAAACTRCATTCTTCTTCATCTACAGTTAAAGTTACACTTTGGGGAAGAAAGTTCACTTCTTGAAGAGATGGACTCTGTTGTGAAAAAAAAAATAACTGTCACAACCATATGGAAACAAGAAGCTGTAATGTAGAAATATCAGGAAGAAAATTATGCTGTCAAGAAGAGTAGGAGGAGTGGATAGGAGGAGTGCAAGATCTTACAAAGATCAAAGAATTTGAGTATTTTGTGAGAAATTTGAAGGTTGCTGTTGAAAGATTGACTAAGCTGTCATAGAAGTGGGCCACCATTAACAAAAAGAAGTTTTTGTGACTAGCTTGTAACTTGATTTTGTCATGAAGTAGTTAGAGTTCAAACAACCAAAGCTCAGCCATGGTAAGGTAGCAAACATATACCTCAATAAGGCTAGATCCTCTGTTCATGGTACAGCAAGCATTTACAAATCTACCAAAAAACAACATTTAATTAGTTAAATACTGACTGATGAGTGCGTAGCACGAAACTCAGAGTAACAGCAAAATCTTGCTTCTTTGATATAATAATATAACTAGCTCTACACTAGCATTGAGCACTCTTTAATGGGATCAGCTACTTCCTCATACGATAATATATAAGCTTACTAAATATTACATAATATTCATACAATTTTATATCTTTCTTTATCTTGGAGTCATCACAGATAACTTCCAGGTCCATTCCAATAAGACCCTGCAAAACATACAGGATTTTACCAACAAACACATGGAAGGCATACACCAGCAGTTTTGAAGACAGAGAGAGAGAGAGAGACAGACAGACAGACTTACACATTGTATCAAAGTCGAAAGATCCTTTCCCAGTAGACTGGCACATCGACACAAATATGTGACCTAACAAATCATACAAATTATTGTTATGTTAATGATAATTTTTGATGATAAATTATATGCATCAACATTACTAGTATTAGCACCAGACTGTTATGGCATTCAATAATTTATCTCTCACTTACATTCTCTTCGTACCAATCTTTAAGATGACCAAATTGCTCTTTGACATCAAGGGATTCCTTGTCRAATAATTTTAGACAAAAAATTATCATTGCTACTTCTTGCAATAATATCAAATCTATGTTGCACAGACACTCGAGTAGGGGAGAGGGGCACTATCAGGACTGTTAACTCTCTGAGAGGAGCCACAAACCAGGAGCCTTTAGATTTTGAATCATATATCTTGGTCTCAAAATTACATGTTCAAGAAAAAGTGAAAGAAATATGGTTCTTGAAGTGAAAATCAGATATGATTTGACATGTAGAGAAATATTATTGATGGTTTGTTTCCACTTTGGTTTTGGGTTTAGCACTACAAAAGACTTGTATAATTAATGAACTGAATGTTTGAATTATCTCAAGATACTCACAATTGGAGTCATAAGTTCTGGTAGTAGTTCACTGCTGTAACTGTCAAGCTCTTGTTGAAAGGTGTTTTTTGTTAAGGACTAATGAAATGAATAAATGAATAGATGGATGGACAGACAGATTTACTAGTGGATGGTCTGACAGATTTACTAGTGGATGGTCTGTTGGGTGGAAAGACAAATGGATGGATTAAGTAAGATTGCTTACAGTCAAAAGACATGAAGCACCCCCCCCCCCCATTTCCCCAAATAGTTCCTTATGCAATGCGCTATTGGATGTTTCATTTTATTTTTTGTTTTCAAACTTCAGTTGATTAATGCAAATATTTAAATTAACTTCAAAATCTCGACTCTGATAAGACAAATTAAATTTGATTTCAATAATGTAATTTTGAATTGCCCAAGAATCAAATAATGAATTGAATAATGGTGTTTTGAGGGGGCGTGCTTCATGTCTTTTGACTGTTAATGTGCATTATTAAGAATACAATATGAAAAGAGTGATAGCCAGGTACAACAAAGAAGATCCCAGTCTATACACAGGTATCCCAAGCACTAGACTAGTAATGCTCTATGTGTAAATGAAATACATAAGTGAATAAATTGTAGGAAAAATAAATGCATAAATGCTGTCCATGAATTGATGGAACAACAATAAATAATTGTTGTGGAAGGATATAGCTCTAACTTGGTCTTATTGTCAGCAACAAAACACACAACAAAGTCCTTTGAAAGATAACGACCAAGACTCATTATTTCAGCTCTACAAAAATAAAGAAAATACACTGTACATAAAATGACAGAAATGATTTTGTTTTAGCTACTTATTGTTTCTTCTGTGCTTGAAAATAGGCAATTGTTTTGTTGTTGTTTTTATGTGAAGGGATATAAAAGAGATAGGAYTGGATAGGAAGGAAAGGGATGAGATGAGATAGTAAGGATTGGAAGCAATGGGAAGGATCTGGAAAGAATGGAAAGTTAAGAAATGGAAAGGGATATGGCAAGGATGGGAATGGATGGAGAGGACCTGGAAGGGATACAGGAAGGGATATGGGAAGGGATATGGKRAAAATGGGAAGGCTTTAAAGCAATGGGAATTGTTTGGAAGTATGGGAATGGATGGGAAGAGAACCCTCTTAAACTGTCTCTATAGTGATAAAAAATTACATAATGTATCATATGCCATATTTGCAGTAACATCAGTTCTTACTCATTTTCTTCGCTTTCTTTATCTCCTCTTAACAGGCAATAATAACACTGACTGGTAGTGTTAGGAAGGACATTCTCAATTGATGTCACATTCCCRCTTCCACTGTACACKGTTCCTTTATACAATCGCTGAGCAATGAATGTACGYAGTTCAGTGTCTTGTTCKCCTGTCAGATCAGTGCTCAGTAAYGATAGACTGGTGATAAAGAACAAATGATTTATCTGAGACAAAAGAATTTATCAGGCATTACAGTGTTGTATTTTATGGGAGGGTACCCAGTTGGAATGAGAAGAAAGAAATATTGAAAGGGAGAAAAATTATAAAAAGAAATATGAAAATTTTTAAAAAGAAAGTTTGAAAATATAACTCCCAAAAAAGTGACGATTATTTTTAAACTTACCTAAAGTCATGATTGGACGTAGCTTCTTTCTGTAGAAATTGTACCACTGAGCTATCGCCAGTTTCTTCCCTCRCATCTCTCGACTCTGCAATGTTTGGTCTGAAAAAAMCCGCAAAACAACAACATAAATCCCCTATTTATGATCAGAATACGTAATASTGTACTTACCTRTTTGCATTATAGGTGTACAACGCATATCCACGAAAAGAATCCTCMATTTTCGTTGATTTTTCTTCCTCCAAAGAMTCTTCCTCCTCTGCCATCTTGCTGTGTTTGGCCTGGATGCGCAGCAACGAGGCCTGGTTACACTRGTTTCAAAATGGCGGACGAAGCGAACAAAATTTGTAATGAACTGTCGGACTATTAAAAATCAATTATACAGCTGTTATTTGGTTTTTGAGTGRTATCATGGCAAAGAGTAAATACGAGTACGTTAGGAAGTTTGAACAGAACGATAGCTGTTTGCTGAACTGCTGGATCGTGGTGAGAATYGACGGAAGAAACTTTCATAGGTGAGGATATTTTTAGTCGATTCTTTTTTAAAGTTTCTCTTTATATTTTGAAATCGTTTGGATCTTAGGTTTTCTGATGCCCATGGCTTTAATAAACCAAATGATATCAGGGCTTTAGGTCTCATGAATCGATGTGGTCAATCTGTGATGGATGAGTTTGGCGATGTTGTTTTGGGCTACGGTCAAAGCGACGAATAYAGGTAGGGCGATYAGATATCTTRGTTAAAGTACAGTTGTAGACAGTAGTTCTTTCATTGATTTAGTCTGCCAATCGTTYAGATAATCTATTAATCAATCGACATTTAGCCAGACCACTGATAATTCATGCAGACTGTCAAACATTCAGTCAGTCTGTCAATCATTTCATCAGACAGTCGATCAGGGTAGTCTGTTAATCTTTCAGTTACTCTGTCAATCATTCATGTTGACTGTCAATCATTTATGTATAGGCTGTCAGTCATTTGGCCAGTCTTTCAATGAGTCTGTCATTCATTCATGGCMGCTGTCAATCATTCACAGTCTGTCAATCATTCAGTCAATTTGTTTTAAATGTCAGAATCTGTCAAACATTCAAAGTATGTGCATCTGTAAAAGCATGAATTTTTTTTATAGTTTCGTTTTCAAAAAGAGTACAACACAGTTCAGCAGAAGAGCGAGGTATTAAATTCAGACAATGAATATGAGAATAACCAACAACAACTAATAAGATTTAGTTATCAACTAACTAAGAATTCACTGGGGCATGAACGCAATGCCAAAAAGGAAATCATCTTGTTTTTATTCCACACTGAATTCTTAGTTAGTGGATAACTAAATCTTCTTACTAGTTAAGAATTGTTTCACAATGTGGCGTGCACTCTATGACTCACTCTAGGTTTTTTAAAATTAAAATGTATTATCATTTCCCAATCACAGCAAAATCACTACAAATGTGGTCTCCTTATTTGCTGCCTCTTATGTATTCTACTGGAAAAMTTTCTTCACTGATCAAGAACTGAAATATCCACCAATGTTTGATGGCCGTGTTGTCTTGTACCCTTGTGACAAGAACYTGAGAGACTATTTGAGCTGGAGACAAGCTGACTGTAAGAACATTCTAAATAGTCTCCTTCACAGTTCCCTGCGGCATCTTGAAAGGTAGCCGTGCCTTTGCAAACAAGTGAGACAACCATTGAGCTTGCAATGATAGAAATCTTCTTTCACACCTACAGACAATTATTCACAGGTATCTATCATTGCATGCTCCAAGAGTTGTCTTGCTTTGATGCAAAGGCACAGCTACCTTTCAAGATGGTGCAGGGAACCATGACGAAGACTACTATTAATATTAATATAGCTAAACAAATTAAGCTTGACTCACTTAGCCAAGTGCATACCTGCTTTCTCTCATTGCAAAACAATTTGTTTCTGAATTTTTTCCATGACTTGAACTGTTGTTTCCATCACTTTGTTGTTAGGTCATATCAACAACTTRTACAACACATGTTTTTGGAATTTGGTTCAACAAGGTGGACTGAGTCAGAGCAAAGCAGAAGAAAGACTGTGTGTAAGTCATGTGATAAAAGTGAAACAACAAGCTGACAACTGTGTTTGAGTGCAAATACTGATATCAATACAAGCAGAGGACTAGGATGACTTATATAAATTATTATAAATTAAAAWAACAATTTTGCTCTCTTTCCAGGGAACTGTATCCAGTGACAAGAATGAACTTCTATTTTCAGAGTTTGGTATCAAYTATAACAATGAGCAGCCTATCTATCGTAAAGGAACAGTTTTAATCTGGGAAAATATCAATGCTGCCCAGGTAGGGGTATCTACAATACATTTTAATTCCAAGGAAAACACAATTGAAATCTTAAGAAATTATTTCAGAATAACAAAAAAAAAATCATTGTAACCACAGGATGAAGCTGCAAACAAGCAAAGTGAGCAAAAGTCAAAAAGAATTCGAAGGAAAGTAACAAGTTTTCATATTGACATTATTGGTGACCAGTTCTGGGATGAACATTCTGATATTGTAGTCCAATACAATAGAGTACCACAGGATGAAGCTGCAAACAAGCAAAGTGAGCAAAAGTCAAAAAGAATTCGAAGGAAAGTAACAAGTTTTCATATTGACATTATTGGTGACCAGTTCTGGGATGAACATTCTGATATTCTTGGAAGTTGACATAAAGTTCAGGAAATAGAATGATGCTAATATTTAATTTGTTACATTTCRTACCTACATTTATTATTATAATTACAATGCAATAACTTGTACACATTCATTGGTGGAATAGTAATATCTAAAGATACAACACAGACTACTTTATGTTACCCATGTATGTTTGAAGTTGTTTTTGAGAAGATTTCATTTGATGATGAAAGATCAGTGAGATTTTAAATAGTAGTTGGTCTCGCACTCATTTATCTAAATCTTTGTTTTGTTCTTTACCAGCAGAAACTTTGATAGTTATTTTCAGTGCACATAAAACAAATTAAACAACTCTATGCATTCTATGAACTGGCTAAGCTACACTAGCTTGTAGAGATCTTTTATGTTGTCTTGCTCCAGTACAAACAACACCATGTTTAGCCATATGAACAAAAAGATGTTTGTACCAAAGTATTGTAGGCTACTGTGGAATGTATTCTATTTCATTTAAGTCATACCTTTTGTACTATATGGACTATTACATTATTCTAGATTCAGTTCAATGCAGTATTCAACCTTATTGATATAGCTGTATAACATGGCTCTTAAGAAACTGTACTGTCTGCTATTACATGTAACTAGTACTTTTCAATTAAAATTTAAAAAAATTATATTCTAATGACTACGCTGCTACCATTTCTCTCTCCTTTGTCTCTGTTTTGGTCTTCTTCTCGGCTGAAAACCCAATAAGAAAAAAGGTGTTTATTCATTTATGCTATAAGAAGCAATACTGCGAGACACAGGGGCATATATATCAATTGGTTTAATACTATCAAATATTAAAAATTGCAACAATTCTACTGATCGTCTTTTTTGACCAGTCTAATGCCTTTTTTTGAATCTTAGTTCATGGGAAAGTTTCCCCATCTTAGGGACAAAGGAATTCTGCAGCTCCTAACAAATCTTTTGTTTTGTACATRTACGCCAGATTAAGCTGCCTTGATGTAGCATGCAATAACTGGACACACTGTGTAGACTTTAATGTCTTTGCAAATCCATTGAAAGTGTACTCTGCACAATACTATCCTTAGCATATCACAGCTCAGAGATGAAATAATAAAGTATTAACCTGGTTCTTGCGTGGGGGCCTCAGGGAGGTTGATTTCAAGATCGTTCTTTGGTACTTCTGGCAATTTCTCACCGACAGCCTATCAATCAAAATGTGGCATTAAGAAGACTTCTCTGATTTTGGGAGCTTTTAGTAGCCCCAAGATAATTTTAAATATTTTAAGTTGAAGAAAAGGTAAACAAAGTTACACATATCAATATTGAGCAATATTGGGAAAGCTAGTGTCCCACATGGCATTCTGCCATCCTCCATACTTCCTCATCCTCTAGYGTCAACATGCAGACTAGATAAAAAGGGAGGAGAGAGAAAACATAGTGCTTACATCTTGAAGTTCCTCCAGTTCTTTCAAGACAGCATCATTGTCTTCATCTGACAAACCACCACTCAACAAGTCATCAATTTCCTATAAAAACAAAAAATAAACTATTAACAACACAACAATAACAACCATAAACAAACCATYCTTTATTGGATAATATTCCCATGACCAAACGCCAGCAAAAATTATATTTTAAGCAATAGAACTTCAACAGGAGAATCTCGGGTGACGTTTTATGGCATTTTGTAGCCACTTCATTAYTGGGCAACTTTGTTCCCATGAACTTGGAGCAAGGTCAGGATCAGTAAGCACAGGGATCCCATCACTWAAACAGYCACKTAGGGAYTRTTGTGGACTATAACTACCTTTTGGTATTCTACAGCTTCCTTTGTTTCATCCATTATTCTTTCAACTTCTTCTATGGACATAATCTAAAGAACACAAATTAGAAATAGTGTTTTGAATAATATTAATATCATAAAAACTTATATCAAATTCATGTTATCCCTGAAACTACCTCATGCAACTGATGAAGACATTCATTTCCTTTCTTCAGCCCTTCTGCTACTTGGATCTGTACTTGCGCAAATTCTATATCCTGGGTCTGTGAAAAAATAAAATGCAATTTTGTGAAAAAACAAAATCGTCCACATATTGCTTCATTACATTCCTTTTTACTAGTATTTCTTCGAGTTGTAAACACTTGCCATTCTGTAATTTATATTATATAAAATACTAAATCAATATGATCAAACTCAGCGTGTGTGCTAAGTTTAATATGCCTATTCTTGTTGTGAGTTCTGTTTCTTGATTGTTTCAAACAGCTGTAATTTCATAACTAGTAAATCAGTCACTTTTAAAATTTCAGACAAAAAATGAGACTCTCTCTAATTATTGTAGATACAAAATGTTGATGTAGCCTAACCATCTTTTCCAGGTTTTCTAATTGATTGTCTGTTCTTTCMAGAAGCTGTTCTTGGTATCTTTTCTTCTTGAGTAAGAGCTTTGCTTTGCTATGAACAAACAAACAAATGAATAAGAAAAAGAAACATTTTTTTACATTTTTTCCCAATCAATCAAAGTTTTACTTCTTTTTTCCTTGCTGWAGCAGCTCCTTGGCAAGCTGTCTTTCCTTTTCTAAGTTTTGTTCAATCTGCAAAAACACACATAGTTAGATACATGTACTGGCTTCTCTCTCCACAAATACCCGATCTTGAAATCTGAAATCGTCTTTCACAGAGCTAGAACTATAATAATCTATATAAGTTAAATTTTAATATTTTAGTACCTTTTTCTGATATTTCTTTAATTTATCTCTTTGCTGCTTCAAAGCCTGGTCATAAAATGGACAGTTTTTAATAACCAAACACCAAGATAGACTCAATTCATGAAGTGAGGTTTTTAAAAGTTACAGTCGATGTATTTTGTCCTTACCAAAACAGCCTTGTCTTGTTCTGTTATTTCAGGTTTCGCGGGCTCTTTCTTACGGCTAAATAAAGACCCCATGGCTTATTAATTGAAATTGTGCCGTACACTCTTATTTCTGTGACAATTTTACGATCATTTAGGGAACGACAAGAACTTCCATTTTGAAAGAATTGTTTTCTTTAAAAAGCTGTCAGCGGTAAACCCCTAAAGTATTGACACAGGTATACCAAAATTAAAGATCAAATGAGAAACGAAAGGGAAAGAAGAGTGCAGCAGCCGAGTGCAGATTTTGACGTTGCGTTTTAGCAATTCGCTTGTTTTTAGTGATAAAAGTGTAACATGGTGTAACACAGGGCAACGTCTTGTAACACAGATTAACTTTCAGTCAACTCTCGCTATCATGGACACCTCACTATTACGGACTCCTCGATATTACAGACTTTAAAATACTGAATCCCCAGAAAAAAATACAAGTGACTGAAAGTAACTCCCGTTAGTACGACCTTTCACTACTGCAGACACTAAAYCACGGCCCCGAGCATGTCCGAGCYCGTTRACTGTAACCCTTTACCTAAAGTTTCATAATACTCTGTTACACCATGATGTTATATGTCAACTCCATAGTTTTTTTGGATTATTACCCCTTAACTAAGAACAAAGATGATTTGACAATGTTCTTAAATTCAGTATTTAATGCAAATTTGTGCCGAGTTCACATTTTGTAAAAAAATTGCTTTTACTCAGAGTAGACTACAAATGTCAAAATGCAAAAATTAACAGTATATAGATTGCTGCAAATTCRACAAAATCACTATTAATTCTTGCACTATAATGGACAACATGACCCAAACAACTGTAAAAATGTTAAGTTTAATAAAGCAAACATGTTATATTTTGTAATTATCATTTCATAGTCAATAATAAGCCTGTTCCCAACATCTTATACAACAATAACTTCATGATTATCATTATTAAAGCTCTACTTATTAAATTTGTGTGTTAATAACTTCTAATTCATTACATAAAGCAGCATTTACAATTTTTGACCATGCATCCAATTGCCAAGATTTTAATTTATATTGCAAAATATTATATATGAGAGGTATTTGTAAGCCCACAAAAATATTATTCTCTGCCGTTTTCTATTGTTATTTAGTACTATTTAGTACCGAAGTGATTTCCCACAATCTGCAAAAATGGTAACACTACATGTACTTAATTAAAGTATCCTAGTACTGAMACACTATCATAATTTATCCATCACAGAAAAGTGGAAAATCGCTCCATATATTATATATAATTTGACCATGAAAGATAAAAGAAAATAAGTGTGTACCAACTATTATTATTATTTTCTCATTCTTTTACAGTCTTATGAGAATCATTCTGAGGTATCTTCACCAAGCAGTGAAAATAAATTATCCTCATTATAAAGTGACTTTGACGCCTGGGCACAACTAAATTCATTCCAAATTTCTTTGAAAAGATTTAACAAGTATGTACTTAATAGTAAGTGKATAGTCTTGATCTTGCAGCCAGGTTAAAATCACTTGTTAAAATTGTAGATTAACAAAAACCTCTCAATRCGAACTACATGTGCATGCTTCCAGATTTTCCTTTTTTTGTAATAATCAAGTTTTATTGACAGGAAAATGCAAGCTACACATAGAATAATCAAGGAAATGCATATCAAGAAGCAGAAACTGTTAATAACACAAGTGTGTGAATATTTACAGTTGATTGACATGTGGYTGTGGCTGTGTAAATTATATAATAATATCAATCTTTATTTTAAAGATTCAAAAATTTTACTTTTGGTGTTTTGTAATTCCCCCTGCATCCCATGAGTCTTGTGCCCTACCCACCCACCCCTCCCCTAGGTGAAATAGAATAATATAATATAATATAAAAACCTACTAGTGAATTATATAAGAGTATAATAAGGATTACTGTTATCTTAGTTGTCAAAAAAATATTAAAGCATAATATATGTTAACATTGATCAAGAAACTTTCAAAAATTGGCAATTCTGAAGAAGAGGAACTTAAACAAAAAAGTTACATTTACACAAGGTTTTTGAGACTTTTGGGTTGAAAATTAGTGAATAAGACAAAACACTGTATAATTAGTATGATTTTTTTTTCAAAAAAACTACATAGGAAAAATGTAACTAAAATTAAATAACATCAATAAACTAAAAGCTAACATAATAATTCATTACTGACATGATTAACTCAATGTGTTCATAAAACTGGTTTGAAATTCAGGACAAACCAGTTTATTATTGAAAACCAGTTTTAGAGCATCAACTGAYATAACCTGTCAAACTAGTTTAATAGCAAACCTGTATATTTTCCTCCTAAAGACTCAGCCTAAAACCCACCAAAAGTTTATTTTGCACCATTCAAGAATGGTTATATAGTATAATACAAAGAGTTTATCCAGGACCTTTGATTCTAAAAAGCTCGTCTATTTAGTTTTYGTATATTTAAATCTTTTGTATTTTTTCAGCCAGAATGACTGGATTGTCTTTGGTTATTTTAGCCCGCCCTTCTGCTTTGTAGTCAAATGTACAATCGTGTTTATCGGAATATCGATGAAGTCCACAAAATACATTGCCACATCGGCATTCAAAACCTGCAAAGAATTACATATATAATTAATAAGTTTTAATGTACATTGAGCTAGATGACTAGGGGGTCTAAAAGAGAAGGGATTTCAAAACCAGTGAACTAAACAAAAACCAGGGAATCAAATTAAAGATTGGCCACAAACCACAATCTATATTGCTATATTCAGGGTCATGAATAGTKGTTTCATGGGGAGGACTTTGTGTGGTTTCAAGACTGGGAGGGAAGTGATTGACTGCAAAAGTGCACCATTGTATAGCTTTGAATTTACACTGAAAAAACAGTTGGATTATATGAAAAATGTATTATAATTTGAAACAAGCACATAGCCTTTCAAAATGTGTTTCATTACCTTAAGTTAATATTTCCCACCCTTTCCCTGCAGGGGAAAATATTGATTTTTCTCTACAGGGGAAGGGAGGGACAGGAAATGCRTGTACATGTACACAAGATAATCCCTATCTTTACCTGTAAGACCAACTTTCTTTCGGCATGAGAAGCAGCGATTCCTCTTTGTTTTTGATYTATCTTTGTTATCATCCGAGGGACCAGGTTCTTCCACAACCGGCAGTCTATCTTGTGTTTTAATATCGCTATGACTATTTGATGTTGGGAGCAAGGGTAAAGATGACGATGATATTGATGCCACTSCACATGCTCCGTCTACGCTTGAACTGCTATTTGAACCTATGAAAAAATAACACTTTCATTGACCTGTCTCATTTGTTGTTGATCTACAGTACAATCACTATTTAGAAACACTTGTGGTGGAAAAAAGTTCACAGGAGACTAGGATTTAAGTAAGGTAGACTTCAGACCCTTGCATGTGACGTCAAATCASCTTCACATAGGGGACAAACAAAAGATTTTTGCTCACTTTTGTACACAAATCCATTGTTTTGTCTCCCAGAAGGAGCTGCATTCCCATGAACTGCAAGAGGTCTATAGATAAATAAATTAGACAAGAGTGTAATATTTAAAACTTCASGTAGACAGGAAATAAAGTCAAAGTTTAAAATTTTAAAACAACTCTCAAAGGAAATGACTCCTACTCAAGATTTTTGAAAACATGAAGTCAATAGCAGCCTAAAGCAAGGAAGTCTTCAAGTCCCCTTTGSCAACAGACCCCACATTGATTCATTTACCAACTCACGAGGTATTTTCTTCCTTTTTAAGGGATTTTTTAGGTTATTTATATGCTAATGTTTTCACCTCATGTGCCTGGTATTCTTCAACTTGACCTCATGCACGGCTTAGCTTCAGCTACTTAAAGGATATTTATGAATTTTCATTTTTTAAATAAAGGTGTTGTTGTGCCTGAAGTTATAAGTTATCATGACGGAATTTCTAGTTGTTTCTTGTAGTACTCATTAGGTATTTAAGTTTACYTTTAAAGCATATACTTGAATAACAGCATTGTTTTGAATCAATTGTTGTCAGAGTTCAATMGAAGGGATATTTCAATATGTTTACACTACAAATGATTACAAACTTAAACAACATTGCCTAGAGCAAAGCTGAAAATTATATTTTCATTGAAGCTCACTCATATCATATTCAACTTTAAGAGCAGYTTGTTATCAACAGTTTGTTATAAACTGTATGCGATAAAAATACGTGATACAATGAAAATAAAAAAGCAAGCATGATAAATAAAGAGTAATTATAAATGTATTATGATATTTTTAATGAAATTCACTCTGAATTAGAGCTACTAGATATATACATTCAAGCCAAACTGATAACCAAGAATATAATCAGCAGTTATCATTGCAAAATAGTTATGGATTTACTGCAGATTACASATGTAAAAAAGTCAAAACACACAAATCTSATCAAACCATTAAMATTGAATATGGAAAYAAWAGTCTTGCCAGTGAGAAGGTATCTCTAAAATGCTTTGCAGAGTTCTTAACTATTATAATCACAACATTCTCTTAAATAGACTCATATCATATCTTTATGGTGCAAATAATATTTGCATTGAAAGATTTATTAGTTTTATTTAAAAGCTACACAAAAAATAACATTGAATTGTGTAGTTTTCTTTGAATTCAGAACAAAAAACATAATAAACCAAAACATTCAAGATAGATTCTAGTCTATTTTAAATTTGCTCACATGTTATTGGAAAATTTATCCAGGTGGCATTSATTGACAAAGTTGGATAGAAAAACAAGCCGAAATGGAGATTATGTTTAAACATTTAAGGAAAGATAAGGATTTTCCATATAGACTTGTACTACCAATGCTTAGCGGTGTGAACATTAAAGTAAATAAATGAGTTAAATGGTTTGTTTTATTGTTTTTCATTGTTAGTTAAGTTGATTTTCTTTAGTAGTTGTKTGTTGAAGGAGGACAAGAATACCAGAGAATGTCATGACAGTGAACATCAGTGATAAGATGAGAAACAGTAACGAGTTAATATGAACTTTCTTTTGCCCAATGCCAAGAAAAAGGAAGACAACAAGAAGAGATGGTGCCAAGATTAGCCTCTAAAGCAAAGACAGCCATATTGACAAAGTTGGAAAGAAAAACAAGCTGAAATGGAGATTATCTTAAACATTCAAGGAAAGATAAGGATTTTCCAGATACTCTGTAGACTTTATGTCTGACTATGATTGTTTTCATTCTAAACATTCATGACATGGACTGATCTGATCCTTACACAGAAGATAACTACATATATGAAGGCATCTCCATGAGATAATAAAGTTTATCTACCTGTAACATTTGATTGTAGGGTACTTGAACTTGCACTAGCAGGACTTGAGGTGGGTGATGATTGTTTCCGCCTTACTGAATCTTTAAAACATTTTGAGCACATCCCATCAGTAGCCGGGTTACCGTAGAAACCACAACCATTTCGACACAAGGCAGGTTGATTTGTTTCGTTTTCCATTTTAATACCTACAGGTAAAGAAAAGAATTCAAATTTATTGCAAAATTTCAGACAAAATGAAATAATCATTCTCATAATAAGCTATAGAAATAAATCAAAGTGGCACTACACCATCTTTTCACAACTTCAAACAAGCACCATATTAATACTAACTTTTCTGAGTCTTTAAAGGTGCTATGTGCACAAAAAAGCTGTGTAATTCAAATATGTGACTCACTTATACCTATTATACCTTCTCAGAAAAATTTGTTTGCTACAGAGTCATCCCAAAGTAGAGACAATTTTGCCTCAAACAAAGAAAGAACAAAAAGATGAAGTAGAAAATGATGTCATATCCTCCAAAATCTTTTGACAATAATTCCTAAGAAATTGTATATATCTTGTCAAAATACATGGCTTTGTTATTATAGGGCCTTTATTGATAAGTCTACAAGAATTTGGTGCTTTTTCCAATTTTTGGGCATTTTTCAYCCAAGTAGCCCTTTAAACTTGCAATTTTCCTTAATTGTAAAAAAATCGTGAAAGTTAAGAACAACAATAAAAAGGTTTACACAAGTTTACACAAAAACAACCTTAAAGAATAAATGTCCCGAATTTGTAAAAATTACACAATTGTAAGTGTCTGCCAAAATTAGTATCAATAAATTACAATGAACAATAATATTGAACAAACTGGGACACAACAGAAAGTTTCTATCTATAAATAACCTTACTAAAAAAAACTTATTTACTACAAATTCAGCTAGCAAATATGAGCAAATCCTTAAAGGGTTTGTTTTAGAAGAGTCTCTTAAAAGAAGAGATTTTACAAAACGGCCTCTTACTTATTGCAAAATAGACAACTTAGATTTCAGAATCTTGTTTTCAACTTTTCACAAGTGCATGATTAGTCAACCAGATTCAGAGCTAGTACACTTTTAGTACTGAACTTGAACTTAGGATGTTATTTCTAGCCATATTTTGGTTTGTGGTTTAAATGAGACAACTTAGATTTCAGTCTTGTTTTCAACTTTTCACAAGTGCATGAGACCAATATGCCSGTCTTCTAATTATCTTTTCTATTTTTGTCAATGGTAAACTTTATCATCAACATGTTGTAGTTACAGTGATCTTTGACATCACATTACTAGTAAATTGTTCCATTTCTAGCGAGCAGACAGATCATTGAAACAGCTATTCATGACATAGTATTGTGGTGATTTTCCAATGGGGTGTTTAAATGCAAGGCTTTAACAACTTGTATTCAGTTTGATGACATCATACAATGTGATTTCACCTTTTCGAAAGGAATTACACAATAACAAATAGCATTCCAATAGTCAGTTAGGACAATTTTAGGATTTTTTGATGTGAATAAAGTCAAATATTATGTCTGCAATTTTATTAGTTTGACTATTATAGACAATTTATCATTATAAGGGACACAACAGATATTGTAATCATCTTTCGCGATACAGACATATAAAATATATTATAAACATAAATATGCAAGACTTAGAGGTGCAGGAATGGGTTATTTTAAGCAATACATGGATAAAATGGCATGTATAAATTATAAGCATTTAAGCCCACATGAAAACAAAATACTTCAAATTATTTTCTTACAAATTAAATTAGTGCGACTATTCTTATTTCTAGAAATTCCAAAAATTATGCTAGCATATCAAAAACTATAGTTAAAATAAATATAAAGTTTATTTTTTGGTGGTCAAAATTAACAATAGATGTTCGAAATAAAGGCAGTTCTTAGAGCAACCCTRCATGAAATCACTACCAAATGAGTCATCGGTAATAAAAATACAACAAAATCATTGTAAAGAAACTGATGCCAAACGAGCCTTAGTAAATCTCTTTGAATATTCATACCTGATTGATGTGCAAGAACAAAATATTGCATGACTAGTATAAACTTAAGCTTATTTCCAATCACTGAAAGCAATGAAACTACCTACGATTTCATCAATAAAATGTCGGGATTATCTTTCAGATGGATTAGGATTATGACTATCTAGTTTAAAGTTTGAAAGAGGAAGATATCGAAAGTGAAAGCCATTAAAATATTTTTCGTGTTTTCCCCCTCTTCATACAAAACCCTCCAAAAGGACGGACAAAAGCATGGCCTTCTTCGTTCGCAATGTCGCCGAGACCACGCAATCTAATATCTAAAACTATACATTTCTGTTGTTTTTTACTTCTAAAGCAATGCAAAAGAGCAATAAAATTTGTCATATATGCTAAGAGAATGGGTTGTTTCACTTTAGAATCATTTTTCTTTAGCTTACATCAGCCGTGTTTTGATCTAAAGTTAAACAAGAAGATAAACGCGCACATGAAATCCACATGACACAGTCCAAACGAAACAAATACTTCACAAACGCTAGACTACGCTATGTGGGAACATACCTTGAGAAAAATTAACAAAAATGTCGAGGATATTATTGTTATATTTGTGAAAATAGGAACTCTTTTGTTGGCAAAGAGTCGGAATTATACGACAGTGACTCAGCAGGCTGTGTTGGGTTTTGGCACGAATCGAAGTACACCACTTCAAACTACCCCTAGATTCTAAAGCTTTTAAAGTAACTATTGAACAACAACGTAAAACAACATAGATAAAACTAAAGAGTGTAAGGAAGTTAGGCTTAAAGATATATATAGTGTTTATTTGGGAGAACCAAGCCCCAACTTTATCGCTTTTTGATGGCTGTATCGCTATCAAACTCCTCCTAGAAAACTCGCTATAACGTAGCGAGCTAAGGCCCAAAAGACTCTAGCATAGTATTTTTTCAATATCATCGATTAAAGCCAGGCAAAAAATACGTGATAAAAGGGTTGCTAGACTGTAGAACGGAACAACAAACCCCATCATAAACCAGCGCCCCAAGCGAACAAGCAAAAATTCACGCCATATGCCATCACTCGAGGAAAAAGCAATGTTTTGGCAGAGTTTAAGCTTTTACCTACCTAATAATTGAGCTGAATGTACTCCTAGAATTCGTCTGTAGTTCAAATTCGACTAAACTTTGAATCGCTTTCGCTCTTTCTACCGGAAAAGTCGAGCAATTTCGTTTATTTCTTTGTGACGTCACACGTTGGTCTAATTTTATGTCAATCAATTACAACAAACGCTTCCTATTGGGCAATAAAACAAAAGAAAGCCCTAGTGACGCCAGACCAAAGCCAGCAGCGCAAATATCAACTCAAAACAAAACAGATACGGAACCATCGCGCTCGCCTGATAAAAGATCTTTAAAAATTTGTTACATTGTAAAAGAGAAATCACAAATTCCCCTTACCTCTACACACAATGTTCCTCTCAGAAAAGAAACGCCTGCTATTTGGGTAAAATATTCTTCGATATTTCTGAGTTCAATATTTCTTTTATTTATACCCTTGGGGGCAAGACATAAAACCCTAGTCCATCATCAAGGCCTTGCACGTGAATTTCTTCACATTTCCGTATCAAATGGTGCCTCCCAAGGAAATTCTTTACGAAATACTTTTGAACTCTATCGTCCTTGATTCCGTGCTCACTTATTACGTAATGATAGATTGTGACGTCATGTGATGATTTTTTATTGCGTGTCACGAATCATGACGATAGCGTCATAATTACATATATTATTCTATATTTAGATTTGTTTCCTTGACATCAGACACGTCCTGTTGGGTATTGATAAATATCACGAGTCTACGGAAATTACAGAGAATTGATATGRAAGAAATGTTGGAAAAACAAAGCATTAAYGATTCGTACACGAGTTGATTTTGATAAACATTATCGATAACCAACGGAAATTTAAGAGCTGATTTTAAGATATATGAACGGTGAAATTGTGAATTAGTTTTCTGGCTTATACGTGACCATCAAGCTAAAATACATTGAATGAWTTACAAGTAAGTGAAAAAATAAATAAAGTGTTTTTTTGGATTCGAAAATCCTCTAAATCGCATTTACATCTARTTGTGATTCTGAACACGTACTGACTTTCAGGTCAGACATAATAGGTTGGAGGGGATTTTGTCGCCCAGACAACACATGGCTACAACAGTAAAATAGACAGTGGGAACGCGAACTATAAGATTCGCGTAAGTCTTCTCAAGGCTTGCACTAGCAGGAATTTTTTTTGCAGTTGCATTTCGGCTATTTCATTTTCATTTTTTCACTTTCCGTTTTCTTTTTTCTCTCTGTCTCAGTTCATTTCGGACATTTCAGATCCTTTTTGGCTTACCACATCAGATTGAGCTGAACACGGCTGAACGCAGCCCCTAAGTCGTAAAAAAATGCGGACTCCAGTTTCGAATTCTCCAATGCTCTGTGTTAGCCTCATTTGTGCGCAAAATATTCCTTATTGTGAGCCTAGAAGTGTGAGATTTCAAATCAAATTTATTGTCGTTCTTCACAAATTCCATTGCGTTTTTTTCGAGCTATAAATGAAACAAAGAATATGTTACTTGGTTACTTGAGGCTAACACAGAGCAAACCAGAACTCGAAATTGTAGTATTCCAGAGACTACTTCCTCAGGAAGGGGTGTAGAGCGTGCGAGTCTCTCCTTACTGCTATTTAGCGAAGCCAACCCTTTTTTTGCATACAAAAATATTTCAAACTTTATTTCTGAAAAACAAAAGTACTATTTACTGTACTTAGTTACAAGAGAATTTGCAACACGTGATGAAAGAGCGTCCCAAGCAACGCTTCGTTGCTATACTTGCCTTTGTTTGAAGCTATAGACCTAATCGGCTAACTCGTTGCCTATGTACGTTACCATCCAGTCCAAAGCCTCTGGGAAAAAGTACTCGTTTTTAAGAAACTGCTTGCAATGAAAATACAACCGAACAATGAGACTTACTCCCAGGTGGTTTGTATTGGGTAGAAATGTTTATAGCAACGCATTGTATCAAATGAAAAGTGAGTTTTAATAGCTAGACCCTTAGTTTTCATTATGTATTCACTTCTAACTTAGTATATGTTAGGGGTGCCCAAAAGGCAAATGAAGGGTCATTAAGCTCATAAGGGCGATGCCCCACATCTAAATACTTTAATAGATATGAGGTGCTACAGTCTCTCGGGAAATGTACCCTTTTAACGACACCAGATCCCATTTTTAATAAGAGTGCCATGGAAATTCCTAAGCTACAATCTTATGTACAATAGATGGAACACCTAGCTTGGCCCTTTTCCCGACTGCATTGTTGGACACAAATTCACCGTTCATCCAGGAATGATTTTCAAGCGATTCCGTCTTCAAATAAGCGTCGCGAAAAACAACATCGCAAACAGGGAGGGAAGGTTGTGGTAACACTCTCATAGTGGGTGTTTCACGTTATTTTGCAATAGATTGTAGCTATGATAAATCATTTCAGTAACTAAAAAACAAATGGAAGCATTCCACGGTTTGATTATATTTATTGAAGAATCTATATTTGAGAATTCATGATTTCATCACGACTGTTTGACAACTAGAAACACTCGCTAACACAAGCTATTTAGTTATCTTATCTTGTATGAAAATCACATTTTGTTTGGTGGTTTCAGATGGTCGAGCATATTAACACGTACGAGTMGAAYARCCTTTTCAGAAACAACATTACGCATTGCATTGTGGTCTAAAATAAATTCAGTACAAACATCACATGTTCATTCGAAGCTAGACCACAATGCACAGCGATTTTGTATTTCAGTTTCAGTTTCAGTTTCAAGTTTTACTTTATGATTTAAATATATGTACATCTGAACATATTAATATTCATATACATTGTTGACCGCTATCCTGATGCGAATCACCATATTTGTTTTCGGGCTTCCTGTGTTATTGTTTGAGAGTATATCACTTTTTGTACGATCATTAAAAAAATTCATCGAGACTTGACGTGTTGCGTTTTTTCGAAGAGAAATCATCTTCAAACGAACTAAATCCAAAGGAACTCTAAAAAGTGAAAAGATTCACAATTTATCACAAAAGAATAAATTCATCTATGACTGTTTTCAGTGTAAATTTTACCTTCTTTTTTGGTTTCGGATCCGACCACAGGCTTGCCACTGGAAAACAAAACATTGCGTTCACTCCAAATTTCAAAATTTAATATTTAATGCTACTCAAATTGAAGATAAAACAAAAATCATTGTGTCCGAAGCTGTCTAAATTGGGTTGAATACGGGACTGGTGCTCAGTCGCATTCTTTTGCGACGCTCGAAGAGGTTGATGGGAAAGTGAGAAAAACTTTGTGCTGCTTTCCATTAAAGGGACACTGTCAATGGATGACATGCGCAGTAACAGTCTCACCTCTAACGGCCTTTGAAAGTATAACCTTCGAGGTAAATCATTTTGTGGTGCTTTTGACACACTTTGGAATATTCTAGATCTGTTTACGTTTACGATCTGATTTATGTCGCGCCAACTTGGAGTCATAAACTTGAAAACACTAGCCTAGTGYTTTCAAGTTYACTCGCGCATGTCATCCATTGACAGTGTTCCTTTAATACATAGTGAGCTTTCTAATTCATCCCCATTCCCCCTCTACCCGGTATTTTTAGTGCTTACGTGAATCTTTTTTCTTCGAAGTAGAACTTGATCTACTGCTTCTTTTGCTGAAGGAACTTAGAACAATATCATCATCATCATCATCATCATCATCATCATCATCATCATCATCATCATCATCATCATCCTGTATTATTAACTTCCTTCCTCTATTGTCCATCGACGATCGAGGTGCTGGAGCAAGAAGACTATCGACTAGCGATCCACGCTTGGGTGTTGACGCTGACATGGAATAAATGAACACTGATTAAGATTGCGCAGCTTCTTTCTCAATCTCGTACCCCGAGCCTTCGTTTTTCTTTTCAAACATTACGTTTTCGGCGCTGGCCAAGAGAACGAAGGCTCGGGATACGAGATTGCTTCTTTCTAATTTGGAGGGGGGAGGGGGGTTGGGGGCCTGCATCCTTACAKTATTGGTATTGCAATCTCAAGTTTCAAAGACTTTGCGTGACACAGTTCGTCTGGGTGGGGTGGGGTGGGGTTGGTGATTGGGATGCCGAGTGGATTGAACTTTTTTCGGCTATAAAAAGCACATTTGTTCTTTAAAATATTTTAGACATACCAGTGCACGCCTATACTTACTTTTACTATATTTCGATGAAGAACCTCTCGAGCCGAATCCACCAGACTTCGATGGCGTAACAACTACGTCATCTTCCTCACTATCGTCCTCAGACTCCTCGAGGTCACGCTGTTGGTTTCTCTGAACTTTTTTAAGAGACTGGRTCTTAGTTTTACCATCATCAAGCCTTTGTTTTCCTTTCGTTGATCCTCCACGGTCAGACTTAACTGAACTCCTGGCAGAGTTCCTTGCTGTACTTTTGGTCGAAACAATGACCTCCTCTTCATCTTCGTCGCTATCCACGATTTCGTAACGACTTGGCTTGGCAGGTCGATCRCGTGAGGATGTCACGTGACGTGAAGTGGAAGGTTTGCTGTGCGCACGACTAGAGACAACGATGTCATCGTYGCTGTCTTCGGGGGCTTCGTCGATCGTTCGTTGTGGGTTGATCTGCTTCGTAAGACCTGTCGGTACAAAATAACGGTTGCGAATGAATATATGATAACTCCGTTAAAAAAGGACACGAATCTGGCTTGTTTTTTTTTGGAAAGAAGCTAAGGAAGCTTGGTCGTCATACGAGTATAAGTTTACGTGAATTAAGAAAAAGGTTAATATATGAACGCTGTGTTGGTAAAGCGTTATTGTATGGAAACTATGCATATAAAGCTGAAAGAAAAGATAAATKTKTTAGAATAGTCAATTATAAGTCCTAAATTATTACTAGACCAGAATTAAATATACTGCATCTACAAATGAAGGTTATTACAATGMATTTCGACCATTCGTGGAAAAAGTACATGCATGATGTTAGTAATAATGGTAGTCAATATACCCGTGAAACATGAAACCATGTTGCAAATATTGTAATAGAATTTCACGGATTTAGAGCATGTACTACATTATTTGCGGACTTATTATTAGCGCTCTAGAATTGACAAAGAAGTCAATACTACACTCAAAGGTGGTCACATGACGAAAATATTACAATTATATTTGATGTTAGTAATTTAACTTGTTATGGAAAGGCCCGAGGAAAACACGAACGAGGAAGACTGGAGCGTAGTGCATGACGTCACTCAACATCACACATACCATCCACTTGATCATTGGCACTCATGCTTTTAGTTTTGTCACGTGCCTTAGGCACAGGTTTGTCATCCTTGAACGGCAACTGTGCAGACGTTTGAGAACTTTCTTGAGTGTTATTTGGTTCKTCAGACSTTGCCTGRCAACTATTGGTCAACTGGTCTTTTCTCGGACTGTCTATGATTTTTATCWCATTTTCTACATGCTTGGATTGCGTGTTTCGACGGGAGCTAGTGTTTGCCTTAGCCCACTCCATACCACGAAAAAATCGATTAGCTGGCAGTCCTGGGCTCCCATTGGTCAATGCAATGAAGGGATTTTCATTGGTCAACGAAGACGGAGTGACTTGACCTGTGGAAAGCTCCGTTTTAGTTACAGAAAGACTAGATGGCATGTTGTTAACAGCCTTTGTACCAGTGTCTTGCCGCCTCTCATCCGATCCTAAGAAAGAGTCCTTGATTGCAACTGTTGAAAGCTGCTTGGTTGATTCATCATTGGTTAATTTAGTATCTGAGTTTTGATTGGTCGACAGCGAAGGTACATCGTAGGTTAATATAGAACTTAAATTGTGATTGGTTGAGCCAGATGAAAACGCTGTCGAGCAAGATGGTATTTGATTGGACGATAAACATTTTCTAGAAGGTGCCTTTGCATATCCTTCGTGATTGRTCAATGTGTTTGAAGAAACATCTTTTTCTGAGATTCTATTGGTCGAGACTGTTGTTGAAGATAAGGAGTCCGCATTATCTACTACAATGTGTTTCATAACCTCTTGAATTTTCGACCTCTCATCTTTTCTCTCCATTAGACTTTGCCCACGCTTCTCTTCCTTGTTCAGAAATTCAGTATCTTCCCTCKTGAGTGCATTTTCATGATTTTTAGCGATTTTGTTTTCTTTATTGCTTTCCGACATCKTATTTGCTTTGTTTTCAACTTGCTCGATTTCTATYTCAGCTTTCGCCGACTGCTGAGCAATTTTTCCTTCATTGTTTTCCTTGACCACTAGAATGTCATTATTTCTTTGAGTTCCAAGTGAGTCTTTGCACTTCTTGGATTCATCGTTTATGTTATATCTTTTGTCCTTTCTTGAATTCATTATATCTGTATTTGCACCATCATTTGGTTTCGACCGAGATGGTTTTCCACAGACAACCAACTCGTTATCCGAATCAGAGTMGGGTGAGTCGTCTTCCGTGATAAAAACGTTGTCTTAAACATAAAATATAAAATTACTGTACGCTTTCTACCATAGATATACATACACAGATTTACAAATATCAGYAGACAGGGGAGAGATCCCATGAAGCAAATTCTGCTGAATACCATTGCAAGTCATAGAAACTTCCCCTATTCTTGCGGTAGTAAAAATAAATAAACAAAACTAAGAAAACTGGAGACAAACTAAAAAAAAGACCGTGTAGCCTGATTTATCCTCAGTCATCTCTCTCGCGTGTGCAATGTATAAACGGAAGAAGTAAATAAGTCAAACGTACACAATTTTTGTCTTCCTCCTTCCCTTGATGCACCGCGCGCGAAAGGCGACTGGGGACGAGCCAACCGCGGAGCCGAAACTTACAGTATCAGTAAAGTTGCCGAAGAATGAATTTAAAATGGMAGTGACTTATGTTCTTTTGGTTTTATTGTAGTAAACGAGTAGCCAATTAAAAGCAGTTAACTTTATATTATATGTGGCTTAGATTTTATTACATAAACTATTTATTCTACATAAGTGCATTTATTTTAAAATATTAAATAAAAAATACAGCAAATGCAAATACAGCAACATTGTGTATTATTAACGTAGTTTAAAATATAAGACGTATAAAACTCAAACTGACGATTAAACTAGACAACATGGCGCAGTATTTACACTAGAGAAAAGCTTATAYAATGTGTATCATTTATGTACTTAATATCATTAATATATAATAATTATAAAACAYACAACCATGCAGCAAACAAAACACAAAATTACGAAAACATGATAAAATACTAACTTAATTAACTTAAGATTTACGTTACCAAGCATTTTAATTTAACATACCCAGTTTGTCTTTACCGACTTCAGCACGAGTACCACCCCCAGGGGTTTTACTTGATTCTGTTGGATGTGCGAGTGACGATTTATTAAGTGCATTTTGGGGTGCTGTTGTGAGGTGCAAAGTAAGTTTGGAATTCAAAATAATAAAATTAATTAGTAAAAACGTAAAAAATAACAATATACATTAATACAACATATAACAACAACAACAAAAATCTAAACAGAAAAAAATAAAATAAAACAAAAAGCTAAGTAGCATTTGATAGTGATGTACAGCCTTCTGTGTGAATCGTTTCAAAAAGAAGACTTGCATTTAYATGGCTTGATGTTGAAAAAAGCGAAAAAGAAAGAYWWAAAATTGCTCTCATTTAAAAAGGTTAAGAATCCCAAAGCAAAACTACRTCTAATAACCGAGTAACAACAAAATCATTTTAGTGAATGAKTAGCAAAACAACTAAAATCTACGAACTCGCTTAACTGAGCCACAGAAGAGCATTCATTGCCCTTACCCTTTTGTACAGCACTTTTCGAGCCACTGATGACAACATCATCGCTATCACTATCATCGTCARCTGACACAGCTGGTTGTTTGCGACGAGGAGTCGGGGAAGGGGGAATGACTTGTTGTGAGGGGGTATGAGGTGTTGTAGATACTGTCTTATTGATGTGGGGGACAGAATGTGGTGGTCTAGTGCGTGGCACAGGCTTTGGGGGAGTTGCCTCGGACGTTACTGACATCTCTGTAGAAAATATTCAAAAAAGATCATTGCTGAAAAGTGTTGGGTTGTTTCATTTACAACTTAGTGCATATAAGAATGATATTGTACAYCTTACGAACGCAATCTATGGAAGACCAAAGAGCAAGTAAAGTTTATGTCGAATCTTTTTATGTCGAACTTTTAAAGCACAAAAATTCGCTGTTCAAGGAGTATATTTGAGTTTTATGAGCTTTATCTCAGCCAATGATTTTTTTAAATTTCCACATTTTTTACTTAAAAGAAAATCGCAAGATGCAGACTGGAATAAATTCAAGGAGTATTCCAGTATTTAGGGTTTTTCTGTTTTCAAGGGCTTTTCAAGTGCCCTTGATAACCACTTTCAATTCCTGGGATTTTCAAGGATTTCAAGGACTGTATCACTAGCCATGCAAAGTGTTAACATAAGATTACAGTAGCTTCTACAGTGAACAATAATTTAAGAAGTGTCCTGGCAAGCCAACGCTCGACAAGAAAGAGCCAACTTCAAAAACTTTAACAAAAGTTATCAATGATGTAATGTAACAAAAGCATGTCATAAACAGCATGAAAAGTTACTGAACAGTCTATGAGTTAAATGATATAGGAATAAAGGAAAGTTATAGTGCTTAAAAGGAGGTTATTCTCAGAGAAAGACCCTTGGAAATAAATTCGGAAAAATTAATTTTTGACCTCGCTGGGATTCGAACCTACGACCCTAATAAAATAGTTAGTTAGCTAACTATGTCCAACCGAGCTACAAGATCAGACTGTAGAAGGTTGAAATAGAGTAAATAAATGAGTTAAATGGTTTGTTTTATTGATTTTTTTATTGTTAGTAAAGACTTTCTTTAGTAGTTGTGTGCCAAGGATGACGTGGTAAGATGTAAAACAAGCTTTCAAATAAGCTAATGATTGACAAGAATACCAGAGAATGTCATGACACTGAATGACAGTGAAACACAGAAAGGAGTACAATAAGATGAAGTTCACAGAAACACTTCCTTTTGTCCAATACCAAGAGAAAAAACAAGAAATGATACCAAAATGAGCTACAGCCATACTAAACCTTCGTCAAGTGAATTGCAGTGAAGTGATGTATCCCATGATACATTACAGCCCGATTTAAAATGACGGGCTTGTGATATGGACAATGTCAAGTCATGAATGAGCAATGACTTTTACTATGATTTCAGTCGTAGATTTAATGGTTTTGACGCCTTTTTGAAGCCCACAAATGAAGTTTTTTTCAACACATGCCAGGGCCAGTCTATGAGAGATATTTCACTAAGGCAGATAACTGACAGTCCACCACAATTGAGTATTTAAAAATGTGGTAACAAAGCATTGTGTAAATGTAGTAATGGTCCAACCATCTGTAATGGTGCCCTTAAAGAAACCACTTAGTTGTGCATTCCTTTGCAGAGTTCTTTGACTGGCAATGAATGTCCAGTGRTGGGGAGGGGGAGGGGGGTTGACAAATGAAAGTCTAGCAGGGGGAGGGAGGTTGGGGGGAAGGTGGGAAATAATCCCATCATCATCTGTCTGTCTATAACTACTTAAAAGGTGCAATAATTGTATAATCATAATTTAAATCACAAAATCAGTGTAATTAAAATCTGAACCCAACTAGGAAACACTATTTTGGAAAAGGAAGGTTTAAAATGCCTTAAAAATAATAAAATAAATATTCTACCTGTRAAACTTGATCTTTTCTTGGCAGAGAAAGGTGATTTATCAGAGCTKTGTGAAGATARCTTTCTGTAGCCTGATGTTGGTGGTTTATTACCAATGACTATGTCGTTGTCAGAGTCACCTGATTCTGATAATTCTCCATCTCTGTTAATTATAAAACATTACATAAAAAATACAATAAACTATACAGAGTAATAATAGTTATTGACCAAACAAACAATGTTACATGTATTTTCAGAGTATTCCCTCCTTTGAACAGCAAAATCATGACTGCATAGCGATTCTTTGGGAGGGGAAAAAATCACCTTAACATATCACGTGACCACTGATCATCTTCAGGTTCCTCACGGTTTCTAGATCTTGTTAGGTGCCCTCTTAATGCAGATTGTAAATCCACTATTGCATCATCTGAATCCATGTCATCCTGTTGAATTCTGTTTAACCTTTCTTTCCTTGTTAAATGACCACGGAAAGCTGCTTGGATATCTGTTATTGCCTGCAAAAGAGAGTGTTTTAATTTATTAAGYAATGTAGCAAACTTCATGTTCTTACTCTCCACTTTGGATATTTTTCTTTGTCTTTTCATTAAATCAAATTTTATTCAACTTCAATGTTTATTTGTAATAAAACTTTGTTTTGCAGTTTGATGAAAAACACTCTAAATAGCATAAACACAACCATTCCAAATTAATTAATCAGTAAATGTTTGAAAATTCACTGACAATTCAGTGTATGGCATATTTACAGTGTTATTGGTTTGGTTTCATAAAGATTAGCTATTACTTTGCAAATTATAAGTACCGTATTTACCCATGTATAAGCCGCTCTCGTAGATAAGCCGCACCCCGAGTTTTAGGAACGTTTTTGAGGAAAAAAAGATGGAAAATAAACTTTTCTCTTTTTGATCGCCACTTGCGAACACAGCTTTTTTTGATTTTAAAGTGCTTTTCCGCTGCTCGATTTCCGTGATCGATGCATTTTGTATGCAATTACAATCTGATTATTTAACGTGCGGTGCATGATGAATTTGATCTTGGAGACATAATTGTTAAGATTGATAATTGATACTTTAAAGAGTTGTTTTTCATTCAAGAGGTGAAAGCAAACCATAGGCCGCCCAACTAATACATTAGAGACAGAAAAGAACGAATGCGCACGCTTTAAAAATGTATTTATATATCGGCGCGTGCTCTTAGAAAAATTCGGGTTACCTGTGTTGTTACGTCACGATCCCACACCTCGCGAGTACATCTTTATCAAATTAGTGTAGTCCCGCGAGGCGCGAGATCGTGACATAACACCACAGGTAACCCGAATTTTTCTAAGAGCACGCACAGATATATAAATACATTTTTAAAGCGTGCGCATTCGTTCTTTTCTGTCTCTAATGTATTAGTTGGGCGGCCTATGGATAAAACAATTGAAAATGCTCTCTGTGCATTTTAGCTCAATAACCACGCACTTTTCAGTTTGTTTTATTGACTTTTTTTTCTCAGAGCTAGATTTTCGGAGAATTTATAGTAATGCTGAGAAGTTTGGATAAAAATTCCTGTTCACGCCGTGTAAAACAAACTTATCACATTACTGATGTCTTGTCTGCAGTATTAGTAGCACCGTGAATGCTAATTTATGCAAATTAGTTTTTATCGGGCATTTTTACAAGTCTTCTCGTAGATAAGCCGCACCCCCAATTTGGGAACGCTTTTTTTGGAAAAAATGTGGGGCTTATACATGGGTAAATACGGTACATCTATTTTTACCTCATTTTGTGATGAGGATTCTTTCTTGTTTAGCTGCAATGATATCAAATAAATTGAATAATACTAAACTTCCTTGTGTTTCCATGGATTAATGTACAAACGTTTTTGTAAGGACTGGGATAAATTTACATTATTAAGGACATTATTTGAAATCATGTTGCTCATCAAAATGTCCTTACATGTTTCCTCCATTCTCGCTGTAGTGTTTTGGCAGCTTCATCTTCAGCCTTTTGTCTGACTTCACGTTCACCCTTACTCCCTTTGTAAGTCCTCCATTGTTTTTGTAAAACTTTAGCTGCATGTCGCTGTTGGAATTCCTGAAACTCTCTCTCCATCTTTTCCTCTCTTTCTTTTGCAGTTATTGAATCCTTTCTTGGGCTGTACTGACTATAATTCATTCATGAAATACAAAAACAAAAAAAACATCTAATTGGAGAAATACAAATACATGGACTTGCATGGGACAGCTTGCAGTGGCACCATTTGCACAACATTTTTTGTGCAACACGTTACACTTGTCAACTAGATCCCCTAGCAACACGTAGATCTCAGTGTCTGACGACAAAATACTTTTTATGATAAGCAATTTATGTCATGTCTCTTCTTTTGAAGTTATTAGAAGTTGGTGAGTTTCATGCCATTCTAAGTTTTGACTTGTTTGGACTCAAAAATATGCAACACATCGCTGAATGAAAATATTGTCTGGAAGTTTATCTGGCAGGTATCACTTTTCATGGGTATCAACTTTTCTTGCAACAGTATAACACAGTACACTTTGCCTCAAGTACATGACATCAACTTACAGTCCAAAATGTCATTTCAGCTGTAGATCTTAATGCAATACTTACCTTGATGTTGAAGTCACACTTGTCTTTCGACCTGAAGAACTGACACCACCTCCTGCTGATGTGTCTTTTGAAAGATGCAGTTGCAATTCTTCAAGTTCTGATTCTCGTTCTTTTAGTTGTTTTCTAAACCCAACATCAAAGATGAATGAAATGTTCAGCTACATGTATTACATGCAGTGATAACAGCCTCCAAATGCAATGTATTGCTATAATTGTAATTCATTTAACTAGCCTTATAAAATGAAAGATAAAGTTCTAAAAACTAAATGCCTTCACACTGAATGTACAGAGCTGGCATGTAGTCATCTCAAAACAGTGAAAAACGTCTTTTGAAAGTGATTGCAATATGATTGAAACTAAATGCAATTTGCCATTGGAAAAACACGTTGAATACTCTACATCTACCCAAAATACATATTATTTACATATAATCCACAACATACCTCAAATCATCTGCAATTAAGCGGTAGTGTGTACGATCCTCTTTTAACTTCTCAATGATTTTACGTTGTTTTTCATTTTCCTCCATAAGTTCTGATTCCTTCTCCTCGACAGTACTAGCGGTGCTTGAAACTGAACTTTTACGATCTGGAAAAGTAAACTAAAATCAATGAATGGGGCAAAGCTGCAAAGTAAAAGTCAGAATTTTTCAATCTTCCTAAAAATGGAAAAGAAAGTACTAAATAATTATAATGGAAGAATGATTTATTTATTTTACCTTTTGTTTTCTTTTTGGAGCCTTTCCTGTCATTCTGGTTCATTTTTTCTTTTTGAAGACTTGATGCCTTAGTTTCCATTTCATCAACTCTCTAAAACAACAACAAGAATTTTAGTGGTATACACTTCATGATATGACGAGAAGAATCATAGAATCTCTCCACCTTTTAATTAAGTACTTTAGACCTTACCTCTTCTAGCTCATGTATSGTTTGAAGAAGTTGTCCTCTTGTCATGTCAGCATATTCAACTAAAAAAATCAGTAAACAAGTCTTGCTGTAATCTAGTATACATATCTTAATAAGCAACAATCATATATTTAGAATTTTACCTTTTAATGGCTTTGCTTCACCTTTGGACTGGCTTTCTACAGCTGATATCAGTTCTTTTTTTAGACTTTTGTTTTCAGCTTTAAGAATTTCAATATCCTCTGTTCAAAAAAAATCACCATAATAAATAATAATATATAAATATATCTGTAGCCATGGTAACAGATTATGATAGTTGACATGAGGTAAAGATGTCGCTGGAAGCTTTTGACTGTATTTTTTGTTTTCAGTGTCTCTATGCTATTGAGTGAGATCTGTTGTCAATAGTTTTTCTTGTTGATGTATTTTGTTGTGTTTGATGACACCAGTAACAGGAGTCTGCAGTGTCTAACATACTTTGTAGTTTTTGTTGAGGTACACTAACAGGTGATTTGTCAAATCTTGATGATGGCATATCATCTTCAGCATACAACCTGAATAATAATAACATAGATGATGATGATAATAATAATAATAATTAATAATAATAATAATTAATTAATAATAAATTGTAATTTGTTTTCTTCTAGACCTATAGATATGTGCCATACGTTTTCGTATCTATAGGTATCAGTACTGCATATGATAATATGATGATAAAATGATAATAATAATGATGATGATGATGCTGATCATGGTGATATATAAAATAGTATAAGACATGAAATCCAGTTGTGCCATACTTACTCATCCATTCGTTCTTGTTGTAACTGGAGTAAAGTCAACTGTAACCTTTGCACTTCTTGATAGTACACTTCAGACTGAATTTTTAGTTCTTCAACATCTGTAGTCTTTAGGTCTCTCTTCATTTTACTGTTGRAAAGAAAATGCACATTTTTATGATACATTCTGTTATGTCTTGGACATAATGTAAGCAATAAAAAGGCAACTCRGCATACTTTATTTCTCCTTCTTTTTCTTTGACTGTTCTCTCAACAGCATGGAGCTTCTGTTTTAAGCTTGTAACAATCTTTAAGAAGCAAACAAGGTTATTGAATATGAGTAATTGAATTACTCTCATGGTGCATTTATAGTAGTTATGTTCATAATTTAAATAAGTCATTACAAAATATTATGTTGCAGATATACTTACTGAACTGGAATCTCCTCTTTTGTCAGTCAAAGTTCTTCTCAAATCTTCAGGCTATTATTCAAATAAATCACAAATTAAAGAGTAACTAAGTAAAATATTACATGCTTTKGGGGAGTTTTTATTATATAGCTTAACCATTAGTTTGAAGGGATATTTCAGTACAATAATCATTGAGGCACGATATATTAACCTGCTTTCTTGAGTTCAAGAGGTCCTCTATTTGCCGATCCTACAATAGGGAAACGACTAGCATGAAAAGTATGCTTGTACAAGAAAGATTTGAGCAGAATATATGGAGAATATAGAAGGTCAGAACTCACTTATATAATGTATTATATTCTAATAGTTACCTTCAAAACATTTTCTTGTTCGACACGATGTAATTTTGTATTGACCTTATTGTTTTCTTCTTTCAATAAATTAATTATCTTCAAGTAGAAAAAGAAAAAGAGCATTACACATGGCCTGGGTCTGTAACAGTGAAGGTGAATTTCATTTTCAATTTTCAACCTGTTTATAAGGTCTGTTGATACCTTCTTTAATTCAATAATTTCATCATAGTAATCTTCTGCAGGTTTTAATGCTGGTCCACCTGAAGTAGCATATGGCTCACCTAAAGAACATGACAAATTAAGCTAGAATGTCACCATTTCAGTATGATTAAGTTATTTATGACTAATAGCTGTAGCCTTGTACAACCAGCTTTGCATTGCCTCAAGTTCAGCTTTATTGCTTCTAGGTACTTCTTGGTGGGGATAAAACAAGTAGCCTTTCCCAAAATGCTAATAGTAATCTTTTTACCCCAATGAAGGATTAACAACCGAAATGTCACCAAGTTATTTCACGTTGTAGTATTTTTACGGTGATAAATTAATATTTTTACACAACTGTTCATATAGAGCTGAGTCGGACACAAATTATTTCCAACCCTTTTTGGATCCTGCAACAAGTTTCTTCCCCAGCGCTCACATAGCCGTTCAAGAGTCCTCTGGAGTCCCAAAGGGCCTTATACAGTAATTAACTTATTAATACACCCCATGCCACAATAGGACACTATATCAATTGTTAAACTTGAAACTTACTGTAAGACATGGTTGCACTTTTGGAAAAGAATTTACTCTTTCCGTCAGTCAGCTGATAAAAAAACATAATTATTAAAATATAATTGCTGTATTAAATAGTAAGTAACTATGCTAAAGTGTATATTATAAGAAAAAAAAACAAGCATAGCAATACTACATTAATGTACTGAACAAATTTAAAGTTCAACTAACATCAACAACATCACTGAAATTTCTTGTTCTTGATCCAGGCCTCTTTTTATTGGCRTGAGAAGGTCTTGCACCWGCCCAAGTATTCATGGCTGTATTATTAGTGCTCAATGCTGAACAAAATAAACGAATGATTCTAATCAGTCATCTAATGAATACATTGTTGACTCAAATAGTAGTGTTTTAAAATACATCACTTGTTGAATAAAGTCAAATTTCAAAAATGTACATTTGATATCTTTATGTGCAATTCAGCACAAATTATATTTTACACTTGTAGGCGCTCTGTCATGCATTTATGAGAAGGCTTGACTATCTTTCAAGATGTTGATTTGAAATGTAAAATGGAGTATTAACTACATGTAGAATAGCTTACATCCTGTGCCATTTTTCATTGCTGTCATCCATAGATTCCTTCCCATTGACTTTGATGCAAGTTCACTTTTTCTTGATGGAATCTGCTGTCTTGATGCATATGGGGAACGTGATGCTGTAATCAAAAGAGGCTGTGTTTTTATATAATATCCAACAAGATATGAAGCAATACAATTATTTGGAATGAGTACTTACTGTTTGAAATTTTTGAGCGCCGGCCTTTCACTGACTTTGATCTTACTGAGCCATCTAAAAGACAACAGGCAAATAACAAAATACATTATAACTGAAATGATGAGCTGAAACTGAACCAAAACACAGCTTGAAATAAATGCGTACCTCTTGGGGGTCTTGGAGAAAATTCATTACCACCAGAACCACAACTTGCCTTCAAAAATATCATAATCAATAAACAAATACAGCTATTTCAAAAAAGGTTGTCGGACAAAATGGCGATTGTCAGTGGTTGAACGATGTCAATGCCGATTGCACAACCAAAAGTAGCCGTGCGTTTTTGCTAGTTGAAGGCAATAACAACTGATTTGTACTGTAAGATGGTCTGTGATAAACAGTGACTCCATTTAGTCAACATTTCTATAAAAGGTGAATCCATTAAGTGAAATTATGTTTATCAAAACACTGTAGCCATAGTCCCTTTCGGTCATGCAATCTCCCTTCAACAATTGCTGTTCACCGTTCTCCCCGACGTTTTTTTAAATAGCTGTATACATTAAAAAATATTTAATTTTGTAATAGATGTAGCTATGTACTGCATAGTCAAAACTGGATGAGATGTACAACAGTCTTGTACAAATGCTGGAAATTTGCAATTCATATAGTGCAACATATTTTCAGAGTAGGGATGTCCAACACAACTGTTGTAGTTTGCATAAGTGCGGTTTTAATAGGTAGGATGGAGGACAATGAATTCTTATTTCCATGAGTGAAAAAATCTTTTGTTTTGTCACCAGATCTGTTTTGTTCTCAGCCTGATCAGAACTCCATAGGTCTTTTTAATTTAGTCAGCCCAGGATAAGAGGTAATCAAACTTTTTGTRCTTTGGACAAATAAGGCCAGATGAAGCTGCTTTGAGGTCACATAGWTGGGCTCTATAACCCTGGATATGCCCCTCCCCTCCCCCTCACCTACACTGTGCATTGTAGCTCTTAGGGTTTACATGTAACTTTGWGAAGTGCATTATAAGATATAAGATCAAATTTCATTCATTTGTTCAAATGTTAAAGTTGAGTATTTTGYATGTACTTACAAGAGAGATGGTTGAGCCTGAATCTGAATAGGCATCAACATCCTGCAGTTACAACAACAAATTAAAAAAGTGAGCTACACCTAGCACTGTAGACCAACAACTTGTACTCTGAATGGAATATAGTTTTAGCTTACAATTTCGATCAATAAAAAAGTAATTGTCCAAAGAACAATACCAATTCAATCACTTAAACAGTTTACGTACCTCTATAGCAATATTTGGAGACGGCATTTCAAACAAAATTAGTTAATAACAAGCAACAAATAGGAGTCTTTTCAGATAAGCTTATCGTAGTGTCAACCGCCAAATCGACTGCGTTCGCGACAAAACTTCTCCCGCCAAGGTAACACTTGTCCGGTAAGAAAACTGCATTGATCTAGCCCATGGTAATTAAAACACAGTTCCAAGTAATAGATTTTTTTACAGAGATTCAATCAAACGGAAGAAAGTATTCGCTTTTCTTTGGAAAATTCAATTCAATTTTCAGCTACGGGAATGTTTATGAGCCGACTACTATGGATACTAGAGGACAGCGGAAATATTTCGTCACCAGACCTCCCCATTTAAATGGAATGAAAAAAACAAAACAACAATAAAAACAAATAAAAACAAAAACAAAAAACGCGACACAAGTAAAAACAAATTAAAACTGCTTGAAATAGCAAGGCACAACTTTGGCCAATGGGTTATGCTTATATTCTATCCTAAGCAAAGCCTGAAAGTTTGAAAGGTTTTGGTCTCCCTGTGTCTCCTCCTCGATGGAAAAATGGCCACGTTTCTTCGTCGGGGGATCCGTCTTTTTAGCCACAAAACTCTGCTAACTACGGCTGCTGCATTAAGCATTGCACCCAGGCTTATTGCTTGTCAATCCTACTTCTCTACAGGTCGAAAACTGTGCAGTGATGAGGTCGACAAGGCGAAGGCTGCGGGCGGACAACACGGCAAGAATGCCGATACCATTTTTGGCAAAATAATAAGGAAAGAGATCCCTGCTGATATTATATATGAAGATGACAAGGTATGTAGATATTACCATGGGTATTGTGTTTCTTTAACTATCATATATAATATGAACTTTGTTTCAATATTGAATATGATATTGATGATGATGATGATGAATTCATGATGATGATGAATTCTATTTAGTTAATATATACGCTTAATAACTATGGTTTCGGGCATTACTTTATGTATCTATGACATGGTGTAATAATGACAAGATGCTATAATGATGGTGATGATAATGATAAAAATAATGATCATTGATGATGTATCAATGAAAAAAAGTTCTTATGATAACAAATAATAAACTTGAATCATAGTAACATTCATGGTTATGATCAATAGAAAATAATATTACACTGTTTCTACCATTATTGTCACGGTGATATGAAAACTAATTTTTCTGTCTCATAGGCTATTGCATTTCGTGATGTGAACCCAGTGGCTCCTACACATATACTTGTCATCCCAAGAAAGCCCATTGCTCAAATAAGTGATGYAAAAGAATCTGATTCTCCTGTATGTAATAATATTTTACTCTCTCTCTCTCTCTCTACCCCTATCTCACTTCTTCCTTTCTCTGAACAACCCTGAGTTTTCTGACCTTTGAATTCAATAAAATTGATGTTTTCTGGGGTTTTTTTTAGCTTCTGGGACATCTTCTTTTTGTTGCAAAAAAGGTAGCTGAAAATGAAGGCCTTGATGATGGATATAGACTTGGTAAGAAAATTAATGCACCTCTTTTTATGCATATAATTTAACTTTTAGTGAGCAGTGTACAGCTTGCACCTTTAGCTCATCATCTRGAAAAATTATTATTTGCAAGTATTGATCAAACGTTGCAAGACACCAAGTCACTTCTTTTCAATGCTGTGAAAGCATTGCTGCCCAAGATGATGCTGGGAACTGCAACTGCCAGTCAGACTACTGAAGCGCAGTGCATAAACGTATTGGCCACTGATAATATATTTGCATTCTTGTGCCTAACCATCAATTCAATTAGCATCTTGATAATGTTGGTTACGAAGCAAGACAAAAGCATGCAAATATGTTAACAATGTTGACACCTTTACCATTGTGCTGTATGACTAAATAGCTTATTATTTCTCCATTGCAGTGATCAACAATGGTGTTAATGGAGCTCAGTCAGTTTACCATCTCCACATCCATGTTCTTGGTGGAAGACAGATGAGTTGGCCTCCAGGATGAAAGAAAACAAAATAATAACTATGATGATATAAAAATATAGTGATATTCTTTGTAGAAACTTGCCATTTGATATCAAATAATAAAAATTCTTATGACTGTTCATTGTGTAAAATTTGTTTGTATGTAATTTTTCACCTATTAATTTTGCAATGAAGAGGGAGACATGGAAGTATTGTAATCTTCAAATTAGCAGAAAAAAATCATTCAAAACTGCCAGAGAAATTGCTTAAATCCACCATTTCCACAAAACTGTAAAGTTTATACATTGTTGCATTTGATTCTGTCACTTCTAGTCTCATGATCAACATAAAATCACAGTGAGTCTCTAAAAAATAAAATAATTGTTCTTGTTGTTTTGTTTTAATGCAGTTACAGTACAAAGTTTCATTTATTAAAAGTTTATTACTAGAACTATAACCATTAATATTTTATACATCAAAGAGTACTATACAAAGTCCACTAAAAGTGGTGTTAGCTAGCCCACCATGACAGAAGACCAAGTCCGGGTTCACTGATAGAAGCCTAGAGACAAACATTTCCAAAAAATACTGGTTAACATGCAATAACACTTGGCTTTTTAATGGCTAAATATTATCCTTTTCACAGCTAACTTACAGCGATTCTATAGGGAGACTTCTTGATGTCTTGCTCCTCTRCATTCRGCTGTTCCTTGTTATGYACCTCAGGTCCAGTTGGTGTTAAATCKACAAATGTCTCGTCGATTATACGGAAGCGAACCTCTTCATTGATATCCATGAACATATCATGAGTGCCATCCTCTGTCTGGTATTGCCAAACCCATAGCTGTTCATCCTCGTCGCTRCTTAGGGTTAAGGTAGCATCAATAAAATCTAGACACATTAATAGTTCTTTCATGGGGAAGATCAACAATGTATTATTGGGGGGGGAGGGGGGGGGGTGGGGATTCATATATACATTGGACACCAAATAGAATTTTCAAAAACAATAAAACAATATGGATACAACTTGGCAGGTTGCTGCAAATTTTCAGATGATATAAATATGTCATCAAAGAACTCCAGTGAAACTACAAAGGAAAAAAGGAAAAAACTATGACACTCATGCCTGTTCTAAAGGAGGTTAGTGCATTATGAAATTTATTGTGTAAAATGAACATGTCATTTAAAATATAGTTATGCATATATTGATAGGCACAAACAGTAATACCTTGAACACCTTCACGGTTACAGCTTCGTATTCTTCCCAGTAAAATTTCATCAATAAATGGACGAAAGACAACAAATCTAAAAGTTACTAAAAATGACCAAAAATATCAAGTTGCAGTGGGGATGGATATTTATATCATGTCAATATTGGTGTAACTAGAATTTCCTAAATTAGTTTAACAAACCTGGTGTATGTGATGATCCATCGCCTGGTACGATGTATGAATCACCAATGGTTAGAATGTCGTGCAAAGCAATGCACAAACCGACATTATGAACAACCTACAGACAAAGTACGTATTAATTCAATCTATAAAAAAATATGTACAAGGACAGAAAAAGGAAAGAAAACGGCTTTCTGAACACAGAATGGGTGACTACAAGTGTTTTGAAACCTAGCAGCAACCAAAGTTTTAAAATATTAAGTCTTGAAAAAGAAGACTGGAAAACAAGGGTTTTACAAATTGTCGAATACATAATTTATSGATACCTTGTTGGCAAGTTTTTTGTTTAGTTTATTCTCTATCGCCTCTTGCAAGTCCAATGAGAACAGCCAAGGCTTGATACGGACTGTATCCTTCATTTCAGAGAGCACGAACATGCTGTATCTCGCTTAAAATACAGCAGAGAAACTATTTTCTCAAGGAAACATGTTCAAAATTCAAAATGGATGGCAAATCCCGGCAGGCGTTCCACAAAATGRAGAGGGAGAGTGGGTAGAGTCACAGGAAACCCAATTTAAAAAGTAAGAATCCTCGTAGAAGTGCTTGGAAATTGTTGAACGTTAAAAATCATTGTTCAAGAATATTTGATAAAGTGAGTGTGATTATTTTTGTATTTTATCATTAGATTACATAAAATTAAAAAAAAACTTTATCGCTAAGACTCATGGATGATATCTAAGCCGAGGAGCACTGGGACTGATCAACAAACATGGCGGAAGATTCRAGTGGAAAGCTCTGATAATGTTTACAAGTCAAGACTACATTGATCGCAAAACTGGTGCTGATGGATTTGGCCGATTAGAGTATCTTCAAGCTTTAATTACAGAGTACCAGGACACAGAAAGACGTGGTAAAATACGGAACAGTGTTGAAAATCAACAAAGAGCAATAGCCTAATGTTTGTGTATACTTTTTGACACAGAAAGTAAAGAGCAAGTTCTTGCCAATTTAGCCAACTTCGCTTACGATCCRATAAATTATGAACATTTTAAGAAACTAAATATAGTGGATCTTTTTCTAGGTAAGTATTCAAAGCAAACTATATTTTGGTTTTCATTTTATAACGAGGAATCAATTCCAGCCCCATTCTCATATATGTGGCTCATTTTATTCCTTTTTGCCTGCCATTTTCCATCTMATCTACCCTACACTTCCACACTTTCCTTCATTTGCGGTTTATTCATTTCTTACTTGCCCGATCAAAGTATTTGTGGCTGTTTCCATTYATTTATTCAACCAATTCTCATCTATTTATATTCTATTCGTAATTTTTCATTTTATAATGATTACGATATCACATTTTAATGGTTGTATATTATAATACAATTCATTTTAACACTTAATCTCTTTACCAATAGATGCATTGACAGAGGATAACCAGAAGATTGTCGAGTTTGGCATAGGAGGGATATGTAACTGTTGCCTTGGTAAAAACACATTTTCAAATTTAATTATTTTATTGATCATGTATACAGTTGGTCTCTTACAAGCAGTAATCACTTCCAGGCTCTGCTGTTCTCCACTGAATTCAGTATCGTGTGATGCATTATTTAGACTTTGARATTAAATCTTGGACACCTTAGTGAAGGCTAAGATTATAGACCCCTTGCAGTTCGTGGGAATGCAGCTCTAACTGGAAGACTTAACAATAGATTCTAGTTCCCAAGAGGGCAAAAATCTTTTGTTTTATCCTCCARATGAAGCTGATTTGATGTCACATGCAAGGGGTCTACATGTATAGCAGTTCATAGCAGTTTAAAATTTCGGGTATTACTACACTCATAATAGTTGTTCTTGGAAACTGATGTTCCCAAAACTTTATACTGGACTTTGAAGTGCATTCTTTGGCAAATTTTTGTTTTCGGAACATCCAGTTTCTGTGTGAAACTATCACAGCATAATGCCATTGATTCAACAACTAATCTATTGTTGAAATATCTTTCAAAGAAAAAGAAAACAAGCAGCAAATAATCAAGCATGGTGGAGTTGCTCTTGTAATTAAATGTCTATCAAGGTATAATGATATAAAATTAACACCAAATTTCTTCATTTGACATTCCAGTTTAATAAAGCATATAAATTTATGTTATAAATTCATATTCACAGTGAAAATGATGAAACAGTGTTGTCTGCTATCACAACTTTGATGTTTTTAGTAACTCCTGAAACTAAAAAAGGTAAGTTTATGGATTCCTCTAAACATGTTCCCACAATTATTGTTTCAATATTATTATGCAGAGGAAAGATTCAGAGAAATGTCTGGAAACCAGGGAATAATTTKTCACTTTGAGATATATTTTTACATCTTACATCTAGACATCACCAATGAAGCTGTGGTGCAGYMCATGAAGGAGTTTTCAAMRTCATCCAATGCAAGACTTAGTAATTTGGCAAAGATATTCCTTAAAGTAAGACATCATTTTTTTTTTGCTTTTAAAAATTTTTCATAAAATATGTGTGGTGAAAATTCAACATCATAAACTAGTCATAAACTATTTTTTCTTTCAGGACTACTGTAACATAATATTATGATATTTCCATGCTGGTTGAGGCAAGCAATGGAGCAAGATATACAGCCAACAATACTAATATTTATATACAGACAGTTAGAATTATAATAAAAACCCTGAAAAACTATAGTTTTATAAGTGTGATGGAGAAATATAAATAGCCACRTAAAACAGTCTCTTTTCCAGCCTCCCCTTTTGGTGGGCTTCCTGTCCCTCCCAAAAGAAAAKGCTGCTAACTAGAGCATAGAATTCCATTCCCTATTATGTGGACGCAAGAGCTACGACCAATCAAATGATAGCTAATGTGTAATGATAACCAATCAACATTGACTATTCTCGCTGATTCCCAAAACAGCCAGTATGCTTAAGTAAGGAGTCTCTTCTTTTGGGAGGGACAGGAAGCCCAACAAAAGGGGGAAKCTGCAAAGGAGACTACATAAAACATTCTTGACAAAGTTTTTTTATCTGCCTGACCAGTGTTAAAAGAAGAGACTCCTTACTTGAGCACACTGATTTGTTTTGATTGGAAAGCAGAGAAAATACTCAAAATGTTTATTGGTTGAACATTGACAAAGTTTGTTATCTGCCTGACCAGTGCATTAATGTTAATCAAAAACATTTTGCAGAAGTTTGAAAAAAAGTTCATACTTCAGTTTAACCGCATATAAACATGGTGTTTTCTCGCAGCTGTCATTCATCATCTACTATATACACATAGTTAGACCAGGAGCCACCTTTTCCATTGGCACAGTTATTGTGTGTCCCATGTTTTCTGTAGTTTAAATGTGCTTTTGCACCTGTCCAGCATTCATTTCCATACTGAATTCCAAAAGCTTTGTAGCCTTTTGATGAGGAAAGTCTCATGCAATCCTCAATGGAATGTGAACCATGATATTCCTCCATAGTTCTATCATGAGAGTAATCTGCAAAGCATCCTGCTTTGAAATACCCTAAAACAGTAAATAACCATACGCTACCCAACTATTGCTTGAAAGAAGKGRAAAAAAACGAATGCGCACGCTTTTATACTAGTATTGTATCGGCGCGCGCTCTTGGTAAAATGCGGGTGACATGTGGTATTACGTCAATGATCCCTTGCCTCGCTGGATCAAAAACTACTAGGTATTGATCAAGCGAGGCAAGGGATCACCCATGGGATCAAAAAGCATCACGTAATAATACCACAGGTAACCCGCATATTACCAAGAGCGCGCGCCGATTCAATACAAGCGTAAAAGCATGCGCATTCGTTTTTTCCTTCTCTCAAGCAATAGTTGGGTCAGCCTATGAATAAACGTTTTTTTGGCTTATTTTCAAGGTTATTGCAGCATATTATTAAGGGTAATTATGACAGTTATCAACATAAAAAAACAGTTTTGTTTGTATTGTACATTATATCTGCCCCCCGGGACCGACCCAACTTGGGTGGGGGTGTGTCGCTGGGACCTCAAAACCCTGACCCTATTCCAGAGTGAAATCGCTGAAAACTATACACTGTTCCAGAGTAAAATCGCTGAAAACGATATCCTGTTCCAGAGTAAAATCAAGCACTAGCTTGCGTGTAGACCGATTTTTTACCCTGTGAATTTTAACCCAGCGTCGATAATTCCGAAATTAAACCCTGACCCTGCTCCAGAGTAATTCGCTAAAAACGATATCCAGTTCCAGAGAGTAAAATCGCTGAAAATGATATCCTGGTTGGCGGAACGTCCCCTATAGCGAATATAGGGGAGTAGCCCCCCATGTATCTGTCATTCTCTGTTCATAGCGATTCGAAACAACGAATATAGATATTATAATGAAAAATAATTCCATTATTTTGAGATCACTTCTTTTCCTATTTGCTTCTCTTCTATTCAAGTTAAGGGCATTCTCTTTTCTTTTATCTTTATATGTTCTGTTCTATTTAACAAATTTATTAACTTTTTATTTGTCATGGTATGTCCTCAGATTGCGTCATCGAATCGTAAAAATTGTTGTTCATCCATGAGACGATCGCGCGCTGATCGATAAGAGTACATATTCACAATGYTTACACCATCATCTCACGCGCTCGCTAGTCGAAAAATAAAGAATGATTTTCGCTAATTTCTAGACTAACAGTATAATAAAAAACAACAAATTGCTCATGTTTTTTTCGAAGTATGTTCTCTTATTAACGTAATAAAATGTACAAAACTTTGAACCCAAGAGCTCAGCGTAAAAAAAATTGAGTTTGACCATTTTATGAATAGGACATTACTAACTTTAAGTTTGACGTAAAAGATTTAAACGATTCGAAAGGATTTTTTCATATTTCTATGATCTTTGASAGATGRAAAGTTTTAAGCTCCTTCAGAAAACTATCRTCATTTAACTAGTAGTGGGGAACTTGAGATTCCTTGAAAAAATGGGAAAAATGAGGAATCCTTGAAAAATRCAATCTTACTCGTATGGCGAATGATTGCCTTCGCTCGATAGTTCTCTTCTAACTCCTTTGATTTTTACGTAAATAAGTAAGACAAAATCTCGTCACTTACTTATGGTATGACATTCCAAGTTCGATGTATGGATGAGGGAAGCCAGCGAAAGAATCAAAGCRGATGTCAATACGGCCATGATAGAAAAAAACATAAATCTTCTGAAAAACAAAATATTCAAACTGATTAAAGTTACTGTAGGTAGTTTTTCTAGCTATGGGAAGCCTTTTCTCAGTTTGACATAGCTTAAATATTGATCAGTCGGTGGATTATGAGAATGTTTTTTTTTGTGTGTGGAAAACTGCTGAGGACAAAGGCGTCTCCAACAAGTATTGGTTTGATTGGCTAAAGGTTACAAAATTTTGAAGTCAATATAAATATTAATAGTAATATCAATATAGACAATATAAACAGGGAAATTAAGATTTCTGGTAAGATGGTCCTCATAGACAACTTACTTAAGAATAGATTAATAATCAAAAAGTTAAAAGTTAAATATCAAAGGTTGGTTATGGGGAAGTTTGCTGTGCCGTCTTCTCAACGTTATTGGCAAACTAAACTACATAAAGACGACTGTTTTACTTGGAGTAAGGCTTACTCTTTGATGAAATCAACAATAATAGATACAAAATTAAGATGGTTCCAGTACAGAATTCTTATGAATTGTTTATATTTGAACAAAGTATACATAAATTTAAATTTATTGTAAATGCATCTTGTTGCACTTTTTGTCATGCCGAGATAGTCTATCTATTAGAGAACATAGAGCACTTGTTGGTAAGTGCATGCATGCAATTTTTCTGCAGGGCTCTATGCTCAAATATAAAACTGGCTAGAAAACTACGATACCTCCGCTTTACTGAATTAACATCATTAGTAATAAGACCTTGAAATTGTATTAGTTTTTCTCTGGCCACTAACTTTAATCTACTTATCTACAAAGCGTATGTTTACAGAGCACGATCTCTTAGTCTTAGTCATACGATTTTAGAGCTAAAGTACTATTGTCTATTACTTTATCACTATCCCCGCCAAAGTGATGCACTTGATCCGTGAAACTAAAAGTACTTTARTGCATTCAATAAAATAATATTTTTTCATTGGTCGAGAGGAGTAAAATTACGTACAGCGTTAATTGTACTCCTTATAAAATTTTGATTAATACGGAAGAACTTTCAAACATTAGTCGTGTCTACGAAATAGTGTTTATTAAAAATAGAAACTAACTGACACACATGGTCATTGGTCGAGCCATGGGGTTTATGTGAAACCAAGCGCGCAGTTGGGCACAAACTGATTTATTGTACTACATCAAACAATGGTCGAATTATTGCAATTTTAGTATTTTTCAGATTATTCTAAAATCCCAGGCCTTAACACACTTGAGAATTTTGTGATTTTTAGACGATTTTGAAGCGATATGTTTATTAGCTGGCACCGATCTTTAGTCCCGATAAAACACACTCTTTATACTACTTCTAGAACTTTAACATCCAGAAATCGTTATCATTTTAGAAAAAAAGCTAAAAAATGCGAAATATCTTAGATGCACAACAACAAACTTAAGAAAAAAATATTGATTGATAAACGTTCTAGAGACTGCTGAGTCCGCTGGATACCCAAGGATTGCCGAGAACAGCGGCGACGGAAAWAAACAGATTTTCAGCTTCCAGAGAGCTGATGACGATGATTTTGAAAATGTTTATCGGGTATTTGTATGGTTTTCTCCTGCCACAAACTCCTTCGGACACCGCGCTCGTTTTGGCGCCTTGAGTCTTTCTCTTCTAGCAAGCAAAAAATCCAGATCCAAGTGATTAAAAACAGCAAGCGAGTATGTTTTTTTCATTTCTTCTAATATGAGACAGGAAATTGGTCAATGGATGACTGATATCAAGTCATAAATATTTTTCTTTTTTTTTTCAAAGAAAAAAATTCCAACAGACATATACACTACACAATGCTAAGCATACCGTTTCCTTAAATTTAAATTTCGCGTTCAATGTTCCATGTCTATAAAATTAAGCAATCGTTCACGGCAAATTAAATTTGGTCTTCCGCATGAAATTGAAATTCCCGGAAAAATCTTAYTATAGTTGACATGAATATTTACGATAATTAGCTTAACAAACACGCTGTTTGTTGACTTTCTAAAATATTTTTAGCCACAGCAAATTTTAAAAGCTTCGTATTCTATTTTCTAAAACATACATACGGAGACGCTGTTTTGTCAAATAGGTAAATAGATAAAAAAAGATCGGAGATTTGTCTAAATGCGTCACTTCTTTATAGTCAASTTGTCTTTTCGCGAAAACAATTTGACGTTTAATGGGACAGGAAGCGTGGAAAAACGAGAATCGTTAATTTGTTAAAACTACAAATAGAAGAAGGAATAAATCATAATATGCATAAACAAACAAATAGAGTTATATATAAATGAATCAATGAAATATATAGATAGATATATTCCTAGTTGAAAGTTGGAGAGATTTAGTTTTATATCGTGCAATGATGAAGAGGTGCGGCTTTTACAARCAATCGGAAATTCTTTCCATAATTAAATCGATTGAAATAATTACAAATACTAACGCAAGAAATAATACAAAGACTATTTGGATGGTCATATATATGATCACACAATGAGAATGTAATTCTGCTATAAGAAATTCATACATGAGGTAGTGTCAACCCGTCTTTGACAAGCTAGCTTTTCAAGGATATGATATCTTTARAAAGCAGGAGAAGACGGACTGGTAAACACATCGAAAGAATGGGATGAAGAAAAGAGAATGAGGGGAGGTGGAAGCAGTCATTTATGTCCCAGCTAGTCATAACTCCACATAAAGAAAAGTTCAATTTGCTTATAGAAGTGAAAATCCTACACAATCATAGAAGTAATGAGAATGCTGCTGCAACGATCACACCCTTTCAAAGAGAGAGAAAGTAATAGAAAAGAATAAAAAAATAAAGAATTCGTGAACCAAATTAACAATGACAAGTTAAGCCCAAATCAATTGGAACGCGTGCTAAAAACTGAAAGAGGAACGGCGCATCGCATCGAAATTGCTTTCCTGAATCAACCGTAACAAAGTGAACTGAAGAGGTGATTAACGAAACAACTTTTCACTAAGTTTGCAGTTTAAGTTTACTTAAGTACGTGAAAGATTATACAATAACGTTCTGAAGTAAAATCTTAGTGCATATAAGTAAATTCAATAAAAAAATATAATAACAATAGAACCTTACCTGGCACTGCTAGATAACACACAATACAATTTGAAAGTTCCCAACTCTCAAATCGTACTTCAAATACAACAAACGTAAGAACGTACCGCTATATAACTCCAACAAAGTGCCCGCTAATCTTGATCACAAAATGCTTTTAAATCAAGCCATCATTCGATTGGCGGTAGCTTGGCGACGACAGTGTTTTCAAGAAATGTTAAGTGGATAACTGAGTGGTCTGTCATTAGATGGTTGTTTAGAAATACCGTTAACAATGTGTTGGGCGGCATTGACAAATACATACAGTATGCGAAAAAAAACATGGAATGAGGATCTAATATTTTACAAAATATGATGAGGAAATATTTATACAAACTTTTTCGATATTGCAGTGAAAATATGTTTGTTCGCTGAAACACACCCTGGTGTTAATTTGTCTTCGTTTCGTGTTTTGCGCATTTTGCGGTGTGTGATACCCTAGTCTCTTTATCTTTCACAGCGCGCAAAGTTTTTTGTTCATCTTTTGCCTAAGGCTTGCGTATCCGAGAGATTGGCAACAACACTGGATTCTTATAATCGTTCGGCAACTATGCAATGGCGACTTTAAYGAGATATCTTTGTTTTAAAATGTTGCGCCATTTCACAAACTGAAACACTTTTTTTTGGCTGAGCTTATTGTTCATGCGCTCTTGGCTATAGGATAAAAAATCTGGTCAAAATTGAATTTGAATCGACTTGTTTTATAATTTGAAAGGATTCTGATTTGTTCAATCTCGTGTGGTGCGTAAAAACGCTCACTCGCCCATATTACACCTCCTTTTGAATCGCTATAATATTATTGTTGATAGCCCTKACCTTTGAGATAATATACATTCCTCGAAAACTGAACAGTTAAAGTAACATTTTGTSAGAAGAAGAAAAWTCCACGGSCTCGRWGAAAAAAATYGAGGATGTTTTGAAGCAGAAGTCAAGACGTTTTCGCGCGCCTGGTAAGATATCGAGATAATACCATACTAAGAGAGAGGTTTAAATAGGACCTGGTCGTCCTTATCTGACAGGGCAGAGAATCATCACAGCGTGGTTGTTGCTACCTTCAATTTGCAGTGTTTTTGACAACCTAGTTTTATTATAACTTGGTTCCATCCCAGCATGAACTGACGTCGCAAAACCAAAATCATTATCTTTATTGTTCTCACTCGTTTTCAGTTTTATTTACATCTAATTGGATTAAAAAGAGCTTATTGCAAATTATATTACCAATAATAGGAATTACAAACTCTATGTATCAAATTATTTTATATAATCTGACTAGTTTTCTGTATAATTGACCCCATGTCCACTTTAAAGAAAGTTATTTATTTTAATATCGACATCAAGTCAAGCCAGTTTCAAGCAGTTCTCAACGGAAAAAAATAAAAACACCTGAGAATTTATCAAACTATTGTCTTCCCTAAAGGCAATCTGATAAAAATTTAAAATCAGACATTATARTTACTCTTCTAAAATAAACTAAACAGTTAGTAAAGTCCCACGTGTAACCGAAAACCTCTGCGCGATTTTTTCACATACGAAAAAACGCAATCTTTGATGCTGAACCAATCAGAAAACAACTTTCAACGACAGATCTTTCTTAAAAGAAAGCAAATGACCGCAAAGGTTGTCGGTTGGCGGTGTTCCTTTAATAGGTTTACGCTCGTGTACCACGCCCTAACAAATTACTGATGGTGCATACGGTAACGAACATTCACTTAAGGTAAATATCACTGTTATTAATCAAATCTATGCAACATTCTAAACAAACCAGTATACGTCAAGGTTAATTAACCGTTCTCCCGGTTAAAACGCGATGATCAGAACTGATACCGTTGATAATTTCACTTACAAATTTAGTTGTTTTATATCATTCAAAAAAGCAACCAGGACAAATTGGAATAGAAACGCGAACCTAATGACATAGTCTCACACTTTTTGAGTAATTTTTATCATCCCGATTTGATTTATCACAAAATAATGCAGGTCAAGAAGGGGTGCTTTGGACTATTAAGGCCCCTTTTTCACACTTGCGATTTTTGCAGAGCGAATCTCGCGGCGAACGTCGCGCAACCATCGCCTGAGTTTCGAACATTCTTGAAAAATTTGCTGCAACTTCGCAGCGATTTGCCATCGCCGCAACAATCGCAGGGCTGTTTACACGTACGATTTGAGTTGCGCGATAACAAAGTGGCGATTATCGCACTGCAAAAATCGCGAAAAACGTAAACGGGCCTTTATAAAGCACGCTCGTTTGACCAAACAAATCTCTCGTTATACGAGTAATTAAGTAATATTTCCTATCAGTAAAGTTATATTCAATTAGCTTTGCTCTCCTCTGCGACATCAATCGTCTGATTATCAACTTGTTCAGTCAAATTTGGTTTTTCTTCTTCCGTAATAACTTCACCTGTTTCTATCGGGTCTTGTTCGTTKACGATAACTTCACGAGTTTTTTCTTCGTTTACATCTTCAACGTTTTCTTCTGTAATGACAGCATTAACTTCTGATTCTTCATTTTGAGTGTTTACATGTATTTTCTTAACCTGCTCARTCAAATTTGGTTTTTCGTCTTGTTCTTTTTGCTCTATTATAATAACTTCGCGATCGTTATCTTCGTTTTTATCTTCTTCAACCTTTTCTTCTGTAATAACATCAGTACATTCTGTGTTTTCTTTCTTGTTCTTTACTTTTTCAGGCAGTTCATCTTGATATTTCTCCCTTTCATCCTCCTCAGATTTTAATTCAGGTTCTGCTTGAAAAGGTATATCTTCATCGAAGAGACACGTTCCACGACAAAGGCACTCGATAACGGGCAAAGGAGCACTGTCCCACACACCAGGGCCTGAGAGCAAACCCCGTACACAACAGGGTATATACGGCAATTGCCGAAACTTGAGGAGAAGTTGACGGGCTTTTCGTAAGACCAAACTACCGTCCATTTTCAGTGACAAGTCGGTAAAGTACTGAAGCATATCGTCGACTTGCATGTCCTTTTCGATGACCTACAGGACGTATACAATGTTAGCCACTTTGTAGCACGACTTCAGCTGCCGGGTCAGACACTTAAGACTGGTTGCACAACGACATAAGCATAAACATAAGCCGATAACAAACGAAAAGACAAAGGGATGAAGTTAGGCGTTTAACATAAGATATGTACATAAGCATAGCAATAAGCATAAGGCCGAGCATAATGTCATTAAAGACAAAAGGACAAACAAACAGAGAACTCTTTCCCTTGTGTCATCTTCATCTAATACATTGGCCAAAATTATAGGTGTGTCAATAAACTACTCTGATCTGCTACGCTCCATTCTCTTCAATTCTACTCCATTCTATTCTATTCTACTCTCTAAATCTATTATTTTTCTCTGCAAATGTTTATGACATGGAGATTTTGACATCACGTGTTGCTTACGGCAATGTTTTTAATGTTTTCAATGTTTTTAATGTTTTTAATGTTTTTAACCTTAATTTGTTAGAATACATTTAAAAATGTATTCTAACAAATTAAGGTGGCACCAAACTCACCTGATGGCCATATTCTTGCACCATGGCAACACACAGGAAGATATGAAAATACTCAGTCTGATAGCGCGACCAGCAGGCTTCCCACATTAGAAGAACCTCAGCATTGAAAAACTCGCGTTTGAAGCAGAGCAACAACCATCGGTGACAAAACAGCATGTCAAGACCTTCATCTTTAATCAGCAAATGCGCATAAAATCTTGGTTCAAGCATTCTGGTTAACTCTCTTAGGTATCTCTGGGAAAATAACATGATAATAAGAGTGATTATCTGGGTGAGGGGTAAATCCAGTTTGTGGGTGCAGTGGGTACGAACCTCACTGAAACCTTGTATCACTCATAACTTTCRATGAATCTTATTTTGTATCTCATCTGCAACTATTCATGAAGTTTTGCACCCCTCCCTATAAAAATCCTGGATTATAAGCTAATGGCACAGCTTCCTCCCCAGTCAACTTTTTTTCCTTTCTTTGGGCTTCCTTTGTAACAGTCATATTGAAGGTTAGGGACTGGTAACAAGAAAGGATCATCCTAATTCGCTCCCATTCTCCCTCTTCTGGCTCCCAGAAAAGGACAGGAAGCCCATATCTCTTAGTGATTTCTGTGGTGAAGGCTAGTAATGGCATTTTTTTGACACCAAACTTCCCTCCTCCAATGGTGCTCCCCCCTTCCACCACTAAATATCAGGGTTTTTCTTACCAACTGTTTATCCATGATATCATCTTTAGGTGATGTAACAAAGACACTTGCTTCCATCAAACCTGCAAAACACCAAAATGCATCCACCTCATCCTGTACCACAGCAAGTACTGGAGCAACAAGGTCAGACATTCCTTGACTGTAKCCCACGAYAGGGTTATGTACGGCATAGTTCAATAGGATATTTCTAAAACAGAAACATTTGTTAGTCACAGCACATTATATTGTTTGAAACAAGGTGAGATGCAAGACCACCCTTAAATCTGGACACCCATCGTTGTGGTACCCACCCACTATTTGCAGACACACTATACAATTTATTGACATTACTGGAATAGTAGACACCATCATAGATTGAATTAAACTAAGGCACCCATCAATTCTAGACACCTATACAAAGTATTTAGGACACTCACTAACACGGACACCCATTAATATGGACACCCACTAACACGGACACCCACTAACACAGACACCCACTAACACAGACACCCACTAAAACGGACACCCACTAACACAGACACCCACTAACACCGACACCCACTAACATGGACACCCACTAACATGGACACCCACTAAAACACAGATCCTGCTGTACAGAAATAACAAAAGAAAAAATCTGAAAATGAAGTCTTTCTTTCCCTTTTTGAGATAAATATAATTTTATTTTTTTTAGCCTTGGTGATGTCCACATGTAACAAAAACAAAAGCATAAAACAAACCTCATAACTTCAGTGTTTGGGTTATCACTGCCAGCAAAGTACGGATGTGATCTGTCTGTTCTTGGCACATCTTTATCAACTGTGCATTGCACTGCTTTCCAGAATWCCTGGTGTTCTTGGTCAGTCATAGAAAGTCTGTAAAACCAACAACAAAAAAACAACTGGGCTTAGGTCTAGGCTTGTCTAGTACTAAATAAACTACCATATAGACAAATTACTTTATTGTGACGGCATCAAAGTTTTGATGTTTTACCAATCAATGTCTGACTTACCCTCCCTCCCTCCCTCCCCACCCCTCCCCTCCCCCCATCTACAATATTGTTGTACATGATGTTATCTTACTCAGCAATGACCTTAAGATGAAATTGGAAGCTGAGCAGGGGGAGGGGGGCATGGTTTTTGTTGTGTTTTTCAAAATGATAAGGCACTATACATGTATATTTATACTTATTGCAATGTCCCATGTAAAATAGGATTTGTAGTTCTGAGGCATGCTATGTGCTATTAAAACATTACCATTGCAGTCAGCAATTGTGAAAGTCATGAAAGTAAGAGAACCAAGATATACTCAAATCCAGTTTAACTACAGACTCAAATCCAGTCGTTACTCTTCACTTCTATGGCATGCTCAAAGGATCAAGGGAAGTGGAAAGAAAGAGTAATTATGTTTCTCCCCGCTAGTTCGGACTTCCCTTGATGCACTGCGACCCGTACAACGAATAAGAGAAATGCAAATTGCTTCTATTATTCTACTGTTATCAATATTATTGATAAAAAAGTAGAAGTGCTACTGTTATGTATTTATAAATGCAAGACACTTTCATTTCTAACCTTTTGCGATGAATCTCCAGGTATTCTAATTCTTTGAGAGCTTTCAACTCAGCCCTTTCTTTGTGTGTAGAGCTAAAACTATAGTAAAACAGCAAGAATTTCCAGGCTTCTTTTCTAACTTCAGGACTTAGTCCACCAAAAAACACAGCCTATAAAAATACATTCAACGTAAGAGTCAAGAGATGATGATTAGGCTAGTACACTAAATAAAACAAGTTTTCATGTAGGTTACATTTTAACAAACATTAAATCGCATAGCCTAACGGAGATTCGTTACCCCATTTGGACTCCCTTTGGCCCAGAAAAAAGACTTCTTTCTGCATGTTGTACATTTTAGGGGTCAATTTAAACAAACAGGTCCTTTTTGTGAGTAAAATGGAGTTTATTTGACAATYATTTGGTTTTAAAAAGTTCCTAACAAACATTCCCAACCTTTGATAGATATGAGTCACCCCTCCCTGGGCTCTTTAGACTAATAATCGAGATCACACACATAGCACCAGGTCACAAGCTGAAACTTATCATTTAAAGTAATATCTGTGCTAATTGTAACAGGTCAGTACCAGACACTTACCCAGACAGATAACTACACAAACTACCTGTATATACCACCTCTGAGTGACACAAATGTTGAGATAATTTTAAAACGAATTAAAAAGACATTGTTTTGTACTTACTCTGCGAAAATTGGCAACATCCTCGATTTGACCCTTCTCATTGAACAGTGTTTTCCATACATCATAGGGCATTGGATTGTATCTTCCTTCTTCCACGTAACTATCTTTACTGACAGGGGATCTCAGAGTAACCAAGAATAACTTTTTCCTCTTCTCGTCATCATTAACCTTTTGACTCGCACACCATTCCCACGATTCTAAAATTTCCGTGATCTTTTCAAGGCCCCCAATGGGAAAGTTAAAAACTTTGTAGTGATTTTCATAGTTGCCAATGACAAACTGACCACTTGTTCGCTTATCGCTATCGTAAAATAATAGCAACGACTTCATTTCACTTAAATCTACATTGAAAACTTTTTGAATCTCTTCTTGGCGTTCATTTGGAGTCGTGAATGTGCAAGGTGGAGTTTCACTAGTTCTATGTTTACCTACGAGGTGTGAGTTTGGTGTCCATGATATAATGAGTCGTTTACGGCCGCTCAAACGAGTTCTACATTTCAAAATAAAATATCCAGGAGTTTCTCCTTGYTCTACTTTAGTATCAGGGACGGAGACATTATTCTTACAGAACAACAGTTCCTCTTCTTCTTCACAATCATCATCATCGATGAAGAACTCCGACTGACTTGGTTTGTGGCCGCTAAAAGCTCCCGAGTACTTTAACACAAGGTAGCTAAGCATCACAGTTGGTCGTTAAATTCTTATTAAAAACATCGACAAAACYTCTTGCGTTCATCACAAATCCATATTTTAGCTCTCTTCAGCGACAAAATACATCTACTGTAGATACCACAAGCTGAAACTCATTCTAGCGATCACAAAAGTTGTTCGGTCATGCAACTTCCGTTTGACGAGTAGTTATCGATTGGACATTTTCTCACGGTTGTATATCGACTGGTATAGTTTGAGTCGCTTGTTTACTACCAGTATGAAACCGGTTTGCCAGTCATTCGCTTGGGTCGTTTTAGCTGATAGAATTGTACAAGAAGCAATATGTCCTCAAACGCTGAAGAATTGGAACGACATGACGGAACAGAAGCTCCTATACAAGTCACTTTTGAAGATGTAAGCGCTGCCGCTTATCGTATTCGCAAAGGGATCAAGAAAACGCCAWGTGAGGTCAGTTACAGAGTTGTATTGGACGCACAAAACGTAGACTATCTTGCGTAATCTGAAATTTATCGTTAACTTGATTCAATTAACGATTTTTTCCCTTTTTTAACAAATGCTCACTTTGTAAATGTGACAATAAATTATTTTTGTTACAATTATATATAAAATATAATTTAKTATAAATTGCACGATCACGTGGCTATTTATTTACAGCTGCATATTTTGTTTATGSCAAACATAAACTTATATTCCAGACATTCGTTACACAATATGTTAAAATGTACATATAATTTTTAATATATAATATAATTATCAAACCCTATAAAATAAATGGGAATTTGGACATTTTAAAACAAGAACAGAAAAATGAAAAAAAAAAGAAATGAAAAGAAGGAGTAAAAATTTACTGAAAAGCAATTACAATATTGTGTGGTTATAAGCTACAAGCAACATATCATCCAAAGTCAGGGAAAAAAACACTACAATTGTAGCTTGTACTTTAAACTCCCAGAAAGTATTTCACTGATTAACAGAAATTAACCTTTTTTCCCTTCAGAGATCAAAACTATCAGATATTGTAGACATGGAGTTATACTTCAAGAAGGAATACCTTCAGATAACTGGCAGGTTAGTGTTTTGAATTTATAATATGCCAGAAAGTCGTTCAAAACTAATTATTATGATATTTTTCATATATTATTCAAAGCTTCAAAGAAAGGGGAGCTCGCAACACTCTTCTTTTGTTGTCAAAAGTAAGTCAGGGTTTTCGGTTGGTATCATAGTGTC